GCCTGGATAGTGAAACTACCTTCATCCTCATGATATGTCGGGACTCGCTTGCAATATCGTCCCAGACACGTAGGATGTGTAATGCCTTTAGCTTCAGACTGACACAATTCAATTAGGGCGTAGAATGACTTTGAACTTGCGTTGAGCCTGTGAATTGTTGACTTGGCAAATCGATGGAGTTGTGTGGAGTGTAAGGTGTGGAATCAGTCGCATGCAGCATAACGTGGATCAAGGTATGCACATGAATCTGTGCAGAAGACCGAATGAATTTGCTACACCAAACCTTGGTGGCTAAGGAGACACAGCTCTTTACTGCGGACACTGAAAGCTGTGTAGAAAGTAGACCAGGATGGAGGTCACCTATTGCAGAATTACTCGAGAATAGGCAGTAACACAATACCAGCGTGGTTTCAAACGTTAATGACCTTAAATCTCACCCCCAGCAGCTTCATGGTGTCAGACATTGATGATAATGATTGTTTAGTTCGCGATAACAGTCAGCGGCAGAAGTGCGGTGCGTTGCTCGTGGTGTATCTGACACTTGAGTGGAGTTGCAATCTCTGTCAAGCACTGGATGGAAAATTAATTCTCTAACGTGCGACCACTTGAGATTAGGCACTGTGGATCTTTGTTGTGTAAAAGAGTACAAATCAGTTCTTGTAATATGAGAAGGCAGTCAATAACACACGCGATTGTCATCAGAGTATTTTACGCGAAACAATTTAGTGTCCACGTTGACATAATGATTCGCTTAGCTCATGGATACGCAGTAGTTTAGGGTGCTCAATCATCTCCATGCTTCCTGTCAGATTTCGCAGAGAATGCAGCATCTCCGCAACTCATGGCTGTGATTATCTTTAGACTTCCCGCTACTGTTCCTGGAAGTGCATCGACGACTGCTCAGATACCACTTACACCATTAGCAACTCCGTCTACACGGTTAGTTACGTAAACATGGCTTTTCAGTCTAAGGCTAACATTAACGCACATTTACGCAAGTGAATGCAACACCGGCTTGATCTGTTCATGGCACAGTTTAAGTAGCTTAACAAAAGCGCTGAGTGAGCGGTAGCTTTAACATGCTGATTGATCTACTCAAGCCGAATGAGTGCTTTTCATTCCTTATTGTAGCACCACATCCTGACTGATATAGTATTCTGTGTCAAGGGGAGTGTGTCAATTTATGAAAGGGTTTACAGTACAGTTGAAGTACCTCCATGTCACGATGTGACTAAGCACTGATGCTTGTCGATTCCGCAACTACAATTGCTCTACGCACACACCAGCATTTTGCACGTGCTTTAAGCATTGGCTAACTGCTTTGTCTCCATGTTGGTGCAGAAGTTCGGATGTGGTTAAGCCAGGCAATAGAGGGATGCTTCAAAAAGTACGCTTGACGATTTCAGCTTGTACCTAAAATCCATTGACTTGTGTTGCCTCGACCGGACACTGCAAGTTGTTGTTCGGCTTGTCACATTCAAGGTTCAAATGGGCCTTGTCGAGGTGTGACTCAGTAGTGAATGCGCGTACCGTTCCGAGTGCAATGCGTTGTTTGCAACATCCAACACGACAAGTGGAATTGTAAGCCCTGTCAAGCACTTGACGTGAATTGTTTCACTTAAATAAATCCACTCGAGATCAGACACGCTTAAATCTGTTCCTACAACTCGCCTTCACATTGATTTCAAGTCAATGTGCTGTCAAAGCACACGCATAGCTTTCGCTCTGAATGTAAGGTCACCTCCATTAAATTCATGCTTATATAATGATGCACATTAACTGCACTGAAAGCAATATTCCAGGCACCATAATAGCCAACATGCTTCTTGTCAGTTTTTGAAGCGAATGCACAATCATCGCCACTGAATGTTGTGCTTGCTTTTAGTGTTCCTCTGAAGATCCCGACCGCAGTCCCTTGTAATAAACCCGCGACTGCTCAGCAGCCGTCCTCTCATTTAAGCCATCCCGAACCTCCGACTGCACTGTAAGCTTCCTACCCATGGTTATTCTAGTCAATGACCAAAGTCTTGCCCCTTAACTGAAGATCGCAAGATTTCGTTCATGCACAATTGCGAAAGTTTCATGCATGAATGGATCACACATATGCTCTGTTCATTTCACGCTTTGAGTGCTTTCTACTCACGTTTTTTTCTTCGAGTTAACGTGTTACGCTTGGAAAAATCGAGCAAGACGTAAGTGGCTACTTAATTTTAGCGATATTTTGAAGCATCGATAGAAAGCGAATCTGCTTTATTTTGGTGCTAGCACACTATGTGCAAAAATACTACTCTTAAACACATTGTTTAAAATGATTATATTAAAAAAAAGGAACTTATTGTCTGCATCAGTCAAATCCAATTTACAAACATATTCGTTTCGAGTGACTGAGCATGCTAGCAAATCCTGCCGAATTTTCATTTTACGCCTTGGTAACCCGATGTCTACTGATTGGTTTCTTCAATATGTGACCGATATTTGTCGAGCCGAGCTGGCTTTGTATATTCGGTCAATTGTGCATTGACTTGCCGGCATATTAAGCACAACTTCGCCATAGATCAGGCGGAGGTTGGTAGTTCTGAGTACACGCGGCTTTTTCCTTATGTAACTGTCCCTTGTACCTGTGACCGTCCTTTAACTGACTTCAACGGTGCACTTGTGGGTCATTTTGTCATTCTAGGCATTGTCGCCGTTCTTCAACCAGTGATAGCATGGCATTCGTTCCTGAATAACCCCACAATGGGGTAAACTATTAAATATGTGTACACAACACTGCGTACGGCTAGATAAACCTGTAAATGAACGCAATTGACGATCTGCACTAACGCCTCTCAAGGTTCACGTCCATTTTAACGAACAGCATGTAGGCTATGTCAGCGTACTTTTGCATGCAGCTTGTAAATCGAGCCTCTAAGTAAAATAGGCGAATCAGACCAACTGTAGTAAAGCATGGAAAGTCTACACAGTTAGGTATAGTAATTGGTGTAGGATTTAACATGAATCTGTTGCATAACCTCTGGTATAATCGTTAGGGAATTTGACCTGTTCATGTGACCATTCATCAGGTGCGTGCCTAAACAATGACAGAGAACGAAAACGCTATAAGACAGAGCTCCTAAGACAAGAGCTCAATAGCGGAATGAGACTGTTATTTAACGTAGTCAAGGTATAAATATTCTACCTCTGAGGCAGTAGCAGTTACTCGGTGTTTTTATCGTCTTAGTAAAAATGGAGAGTGCAGGATTGTCTGAGTTACATGTTGCGTTATCATCTAGAGGTTATCTGAGCACCCCGGTAGAATTAATGAAGATTCGACGTCTGACTTCTACGATTTCACAGTATTTAGACCACCTCCAACCTCCAGCTCCACCGTAAGTCACCAGAATTTGGCGCTGCATAGCATTTTTATATATTTAAAATGACAATCTTGGGCATGTTAGGGCTACAATGCCATGCACTTGCTCTACTCATGTATTCCCATTCAGACGCAATGTCTTAGGGCCTTGTTGGCAATAAAACCTCAAATTTAGTGAAACATTTACATCGATAACACACATGCATCTACCTGAATGCTGCTAAAGCTGTAAGAGTGACAATCAACTGGACATTTGATCCCAGATTGCGTTGCTAAGATATTGGTGATTTCCATTTTTTGCAACATGGCAGTAATTGCATTTGGTTGAAGATGTCCAAATTGATACCTACTAATAATTGGAAGACATAATCGCATTCCACTCTTTGGTTAAAAACCGCATGGCATTAATATGCTACACAGCACATTCCAAATTTGCAGTTCCGGCACCAGTGTTCTGGATTGGTCCTCGCGAACGTTGTACTACGTCAAATTCGTGGGCGCGGGAAAGGACATCTCTCTGCTTGACCTCTTTGCCACTTTTATACAATTCGGGCGCATTGTTCACATACGCCAAGAGTCCAATGTGCAAGAACAGTCAGCAAGTGGAAGTGGTTACGTGGCCTTCGACTTGTTTTATTCTGTGTGGTCTGCTCTCGCTGTCAGTCCCATTAAAATAAAATCGTCGACCCTTGCTCTGTCGATTCCAAGTCCCATGTGAGTTTGAGCGCCTGCCCTTGATGTCTACGTTCGTGTGCTGTTGGGAACTGGTAGACAGAGACTAAGGTGCTTGCACACATTTCACATTTCTCAAATTCTCACAGTTGCGCTACGTTTGTATCTGTCTTGTCTACCTCTGTAACCTGCTTTCTTAGCTTCAGCCAGCTCCCAGATCCTCTTCAATTCTACTCCGTGGTATTCACTGGTGTTTGCAAGCACACTTCCTCGAATGAGTTGCAAAATCACTTTGGCCAGTGCAGTCCTGTTGCAAGAGTTGTCAAATGCGGTGGTGGAAGAGCACAAGTCGACTTCAGCGACCTAACCACTGCCATTGTCACGAGTTTGAAAAAGGCTCATCAAGTTGGTGCCTCAGTTTTAATCCCCAAGTAGGTCACATTGCCTTTAGTCGGCATCGTCTCTTCACTTTTGTTTCGACATGTCGCAGTGCAGCCGTTCAATGCTCCCTTGGTACGTGCACTGACAGTTGTGTAAGTGAATTGGTGTGTGTGTGTGTGTGTGTGTGTGTGTGTGTGTGTGTGTCACAATCGCTGATGCAGTCATGAGATACGGCCGGACCAGGCCAATTTGGCTGTCAGTTGTCAAGTTCCTCAACGCCTTGGTCGATCTTGTTATAAGCTATTTCAGAGATTGACAAACATCTTGGGAAAAGCAAGCTAACCAGGCAAATATCAATTCTGTGAAATGCAAATGTTTAATGCTGGGGCATGTCTGTATGTCACACGTCGCAGACAGCCTGCAGAAAGATGGCCGGTGCGGTACTCTAGGCATTCTTTTCTCTTCTTTTTAGCATATTTATGTAAGTTCAATGATACCTCGCGTCATGCAGTATTTTTGAGACAATTGACTGCAATTATTTGTAAGTTTAATCAGTCACATGCTTCTTAGCTGTACAAAGAACGTCCATAGTCTTTGTCAATGAAGAAGTTGTTAACGAGTGTAATTCCATTCGCACTAGATTTTGATTTGTAACTTACAGGGGCAAAGAGTGAGCGAACTATTTCTTTTTGAATAAATCTGTGGGTACTTCTACTTGCTTTAAATGTGCTAAATCATAAATATTCTGTTGTTTTAGGTTCGTAGAACCAGGGAAGTAATACAGCTATCTAACCCACTAAACTGATACTTGCCAAATTCTCCAGTATCAGCTATGACACCTGACTTTGTTTTTGCTTTCAGTGATACATTTCATGTCATGTGCCTTCCTGTGACAAAGCTTTCCCCAATTATACCTTTTTTCGATGCTTATTTTTTTAACAGGGTCAATCATTTAACTTAGACTGAACCAGAAATGCTTGCCTGAATTTGAGGTTTCAATTCAGAAAACATCTACTTTAGTATATAAGTCGTTATTCCTTTTTTTATAAAAGCTAAAACAATATTTGCATAACAATTTTTACGGTTTTCAATCCTTCGATCTGCAAATTTGACAACAGTCTTGTTAAAATGTGCATTTACGCATGGGTGATGGAAACAAATTTAACTATCAAATTAGATGGTGAGAAAGGTGACGCGTGACCTGGCATAGACGAAGGTTTTTTAGTGCTGCAAATAATTTGGACTTAGCGAAGCATTAATAGTGTTGCAGGTATTGGTGATTAACGCTAGTTAAATTGCGCCTTTGTTTTACAAATTATGCGAATTTTTGATATCAAAGTGTGAATAAATTTAGTGTGGTCAGGTTAAAAATATCCGTGATCAATGTGTACGCAGGATAATTCTGAGTTCTTTTAGCTTACAAAAAAAAACAAACGAAGCTTATTTTAAGCAAAACATTTTTTCACGTGTTAAGGAAACATTAGCACCACAGAATCAAAGTCCAGACCCGCCGCTGACAGTTAAGAAGGGAATATGTAATCTACCTCGTTTTTTGGCAAATGTGCCATATTATAAAGCGGCGTTAAATGGATTTGGTTTCAGAGTATGATATTGGAAATGATATTTATGTTGTTGGAAGGGGAAAGCTGCAACACCATTGACTCTGTGAGCGCTAACATATTTAATGCAAAATTCGTGTGAACCAGGTAATTAGTTCTATGAAGGCGAAAGTAGCTAGCAATAGTATTTGTTGATTTTCTTAAAAATAACCCACAAACTTTGAGGCATTTTGTTAAGTGATTCTGGAAATTTCTGCGTCGACAATGTCGATCAAAGTAGACCTTGGCGAATAAGACCGGATGAACAGGAAGAACAAGATTTAACGACGATCTGTACCACTTTCAATGGGTGCGTGTAGCCTGCGTAGTCAATGGGCCATCTACCGTTCATTGTACAACATTGTGTACTTGACGACTGATGGATGTCAAGAGTTTGTAAGGATTACTTTGATCTCTTCCACGAACTACAGTGACAGCAACCCAAAGCAGCCAATTAGCACCAAATTAACAATAATGCCTTCTTCCTTCGTGCACAAAATATCATTTGTTGAGCGTATAAGTATTAGCGGTGACTAGACTGGTTGTTGTATTTCCTTTTGATGTTCAAACTATTAGCTAAGGTACTCGGCGTCTTGTCTTGTTGTCTTGTTAAAGCATAATTCAACGAAGACCAAAATTTAGACGTCAACCTGACTTCCCGTCTTGGAAAATCCACCACTGCCTACGAATTTCACACTGAAACAGAAGCATACGTCTGCGAATCTGTATCAATTAAGGTTATGGTGTATCAGGTAGACAGACAGTGAGATCACAAGAAAGGTACAAGACGAAAGGGACTTCTTATTTGTGCAGAAGTTTGTTACGTCAAATTTCAGTTGCGTTTTGCAACGGATGCGTGAACATGCTAGAATATCGTGGTGTGAATTACCTTAGAGTTGACAGACTGTGTCTTAGTGGTGTGCATTACCAATTCGCATACGTAATGGGTTTTGCCTGTCCGCAGAAACCAAGGTCAGCTAAATCCTAGTGAATTATCTCTAAATGGCATTAAAAACTTACCAGATAAGTAGAGTTAGTGATGTCGTCTGAAATGCTTGCTACATTGTATTTGGATTTAGAGGGCTGTATGGTAGTGCTAAATCTCTAGCCACTACATTTGGTGACCCCGTTGACAGGTGATTTCCGTCGAATTATTTTCACAACCCTCGTTTTACAATGTTTGACCCTACTGCTGTGCAATCCCCTATAGAAAACAGTATTTCTGTGAGCTTTCCTCCTCACAGCTACAACGCTCGAGTGTGGTTTATGCAAATTGAGGCTCAATTTCACAGCTTGAAGGTTACTTGACAGTCTTCAAAATACCTTCATGTCGTTCCTTTGCTGCTAAAGGAAGTCTCGACAGTAGTTATTGACATGACTGATACAATGCCCTCTAAAAATTCTTGTGACAATTTAAATGAAAGCTGCTGTTCTTGCTCCAACGACCACCTCGAACGAGGCTGGTCTATGACACCTCCTTTCTGGAATCGAACTTGACGACAGGTCTCCTTCGCAACTCCTCCGACATATGCGGACCCTTGCCGGGGATAACAAGGTTCCTGACTCTGTTCTGAGCCAGTTATGGCAAAATGTCTGCAAACACTAACGCCATAGTTTCAATCCAGATCTCTGGCGCACCATTGGAGAAATTCGCTGAGATAGCCAATAAGATCCACGAGTGTTTTTCCCAGGTACAAGTTAATGAGATTGTCTCCTCTGGCACTGTGGGCATTAATAAATTGGCAGAACGACTAGCCAAATTGTCACTAAAATTCAATGTATTTGCTAAAGGTAATCCGAGCGGCTTCTACAGACATCCGCAACGTCGAAAACGTTCTTCATCACGTTTTCGCCGATTCAGCCAATGTGGGGAACGATCTGGTCTATGTTGTTACCATCGGCGGTATGGTGACAAGGCACGAGCCTGTAAATACCCATGTAGTCACTCCCTGGCCTTCAAGCCGTCCAGTTTACCAGTAATTGCTACGACTGGACTAGGCATTCACTTTAGTAGCCTATTTTACGTCCATGATTCACACAGCGGTTTAAGATGTTTGATTGACACCGGTGCCGAGGTCGGTGTAATTCCTCCGGGACCTGACAAACGCCACCTCAATACCTCTGGTCTTCAACTTCAAGCTGCGAACAGTTTGCCGATTTCAACGCATGGCCAAAAGTTACTCACCTTAGATCTAGGCTTTAGGCGACAATTTGCCCTTGTTTTTACCGTGGCTGATGTTCAATGCCCAATAATTGGTGCTGACTTCCTTTCCCATTATGGTCTATTGGTTAATATGGCCCAACGCAGGCTTATAGACTCAAATACGATACTATCAATTCGAGGAGTCTCTGCTTCAATAAATTCAACTGGACTCCACCTGGCGTTCCCCGATTCTGACAGATAGGATAAGCTTTTGGACGAGTTCTTCGAGATTGTAAAAGTGGCTCAGGCGCCCTGAGAACTTACTCACCAAGTCATGCATCATATCGTAACTAAAGGTCCGCCAACAACCGCCAAGGCCAGACGACTTGCCCCTGATAGGGTCGGAGCAGCCAGAGCAGAGTTTGAGCACATGTGTCGTCTTGGCATTATCCGCCTCTCTAACCGCCAATGGATGTCCCATGGTAACTAAGAAATCTGGAGACCCTGTGGTGTTTACAGGGCCCTAAATAATGTCACAGTCCCTGTCCGGTACCCCATCTCTCATATTCACGATTTTTCATTGGGTTTTAACTGTGCTAAAGTCTTTTCAAGGCTTCATCTTGTCCGGGCTTATCATCAGATTCCTATTGTCCTGAAGACATCCCTAAAACTGCCGTTATTACGCCATTTTGCCTATTCTAGTTTCTACGAATGCCTTCTGATTTACACAACGTAGCACAGACCTCTTAGAGGTTCATGGACCTAGCTTCCCGTAAACTCGACTTCGTCTTTGTCTATCTTGATGATATTCTCATCGCCAGCAAAGACAATGATGAACATTTGCTGCACCTACGATAGGTTTTTACCCGTCTTAAAGCTTTCGACGTCACTATTAATCCTCAGAAATGTGTTTTTGGAGTGGATACTGTTGAGTTCCTCAGACACCAAATTGACGCAGATTGCATTAGACCCCAGGCTGAGGAAACAACAGCGATTCGATAGCATCCAATACCAGAATCCTCCCTATAGCTTACGCCGTGTTTTTGGTTTGGTCAAGCACTATGTAAGGTTCATTCCACAAGCCGCTGACATTTTATTTTCCCTGAATGACTTGCTTCGACGTAATCCCAAGAAGCTAATGCTTAATCAAGAATCTGAAGCAACTCTTCAGGTTGTAAAGGCTGCGATAGCAGATGTTACAAACTTGTGCTACTGGAAGAAGGAAGCGAAACGTGTCTTACGGACAGATGATTCCCAAACTGCGGTCAGCGCAGCCCTCACAAGAGCTGGACCCTCGTACCGAGCCGTTAACATTCTTCTTCCGAAAGCTTCAACCAGCTCAGACCCGTAACAGAACCTTTTCCAGAGAAGGGTTGGCGATTTATCTTGCTGCGAAAAACACTTCCGTCACCTACTAGAAGGACGTGGGTTCACAATTTTTACCGATCATAAGCCACTGATTTATGCCTTTCTTGGTTTGGTCACTTTGACGAATAGGGAACGTTGGTGAGATACTCATGTAGTGTAGTGTGGTGTGGTGTGGTGGCATGACATATAGCAGCCATATTGGTGTTAATCCATTGGACGAAGGTGGGAAGCATGCCATGTTGGCGACGTCATGTGACCGGGGGGTGCGACTTCCGGCCGTGTGGCATCACGTGGGCATTGAATGACGTGCCGAGGACTGCGAGCTAATCCGCTCACGAGTTTTCCGTCTCCATTGCAGTGCCCCGGACCGGACCAACGGGAGAACAGGACGACGAGGACAAGGATATATAAAGACCCTGTTTTCCCTTTTACGCCCGACCTGTTTGTGACTAGATTGTGGCTTGTTTCAGCCTTCATTAAAGTACTCCCTTTTGCCTCACTCTCTCTCTTCTTGACCATACCATGGGTTGGGAAAGTACAGTGGCGACGGATCAGAGCGCAGACATATTAGACCACCTGGCCTTATCCAATCCTGTGTCTTTCTGCGTTCCAACTGTATGCGAGGAAGAGAAACAGCCAACCAGAGAAGGACACTAATGAGGTGCAGTATATATTGAGCGGCGTGGCCATTGTGGTGGACCCGGATGGAAGGCGCCTGATGTGTGGTTCCTGGCTTGTGATTAGTCAATAAAGCCTGTTCTGTTGTGCCAGTCTTCTTTCAATCAGGATCATCCGTAGTGTAGCAACGTATGAGAGAGCAGTCACAGTGGACCACGATGCAATTAGCCGATCCTCTGTCTCTCTACGTTCTTCTGGCAGGCGTGGAAGACATGCAGCTAACCTGAGACAGACGCGTCTGAGAAGTGGTATAAAATGAACGGCTTAGCCAGCGTGGTGGACTCGAATATACCAGGCTTGACATGAGGTTTTTGCTTGTGATTGGTCAATAAAGCCTGTTCTGTTGTACCAGTCTTCTTCATATTGGAGCTCTAATATACTGCATTCATAAGGCCAGAGTCATTGGATCTTAACCTATTGAATTAAGGCTTTCTGAACCCTTATAGAATTTGGCTTTTAACCATTCGCAAGTGGAACTGAACAAAATACCGAGCTTCGAAAAAATTATTTGCTGAAGATTTCAATAAAGGCTTCTGTACTCACGGAGCACTTGCTGAAAATGGTTGAAAATACATTTAAATCGTAATAGCACAAAGAACAATAAGGTTAGGTGGTAGAAAACTGAAGCTTTTAGTGAAACAAGTGAACCGCATTTAGCAGTAATAATATGAATGAGTTACCGATCTGACTGTAAAAGTTGGTCCGTTCGAAGCAAACTAGAAGGGATAAATGCAAAACAATATTTGGTAGTACACAAAAGTCACGTTTTCGGGGTATCTAAACCAAATCTTCGTCGCTTCGACATTATGTCTACCACTTCCTGACTTCTCTTTCTGTTAGTGTCTTACATTACAAGTAAAGGTCTCTCGTTTTCATTTCACTTATGAACGCATCCCGATATTAATTCTGCCGTCCGCTTGGAACCTTTCATTGTATATTCAGGAATTTCTTATTGATAGCTGTTTATTGAGCTAGCTCCGATGTCTGCACTAATACAATAAGACGTCGTTCAATAAATTTGTGTGGTTGTCGAAATATAGTGTAATTTTAGCCTGATAATCGTTGTAGGTTGGCACTAAGGTCCTCATGAGAAACTCTTGTATTCTCTCATTAATAATATTTATTTAATTCGCATATCACAATGTATTTCAAATTTTCATGACCTATCCCATTTGATTGAAATTGAAGCAGGAAAGTTATTGTGGAATCAAATAACGGAATGGACTAGGATGTTCCTAAGTAGGAAACGTTTTTGCAGTAAAAATGGAAATTCCTATGTGAAATCAAGTAATAAGACATTTCAAGTGTCATGGATACACTTATGTAGTAATCTATGTGGTTACGATAGTAGATGAGCCGCTCTCTGCACCCACAAAACGGTTTGCCAAAAATAATCATGTGCTCCAAATTCATGAAGTTCATGATTGAATGTTTTCAGAACACGTAAAGTAGTACCTGGGTTGCTCTAAGTTGCTTACATTGAAAGATTTGGGTTACTAAAATAAAAAAATTGTTATCCTCTATGTTAAATTTGTAAAGGATGCTGTGTTTTATGCTGATTGGTGCGTGCGAGTGGTGCCTATGTCGTGTGTTTTGGGTTGAAACGCGTCGTCGAAGATTTTGTGGAAGGTTTATCAGTTCTTAAGTCTGTGCTTTTCCTACTCGTTTATGTTGTTTTTTTTTGACACTGATTAATTTAACTTACATACAGCGGATTTTGATATATTATGTGGGTTTCCATAATTACGTTTATTTGTGTGAACGCGCAGAGTATCTGTAGGTATGTGGTAGTTGTTCATCAGTTGTCCATCAAGACTCATGTCATAACTTGTAATAGGATTTCGTTTGGATTTTCAAAGACAGTTGCCCCTATGGCGTTTAAAAATAGTTAGATATGTAGTTTATGTAAAGTTTGTAGAACTTCCTAACCGCCTTGACTTTCTATCTACTAGGTTAGGACCATAAATAAGTCTGGCTAATAGCATTAAGCTCCGAAATGTTGCTTTTTGAGTTGATTAACAATATAGTGCGTAGTTTTCCGATAGCAGTCGTAAAGCGTTGGACGATTTTTCATTTATTATTCGTGTCTTATTTTGTAGATATGTCTACTCTCTTTGGCCTTCTTGTCCTTCTAGTATTGGTTGCATCGTCTGCCCCTGAAGGAAAAAAGCAGCCTCAAGCATTGCCTGTTGGCGCATTAAATGACTTGGATAAGCAACACTTCTTTAAAGTTTTCGATGGTCTTGATAAAGAAAGTGTAAAGGAAGTGCATTATGCCGTTTTGGGGAACGCTGCCTTTGGTCGTGAGACGGCTGGCATCAGTTGCTCTTTCATTTCTACTTTCTTCGATTCAGACGACCTCGAATTGCAGTACCATGCTTTGTCAGTTGCCAGCATGATTAAGGGGTGCAATGTAAGTTCTTGGCTACTCAAAATATGTACGCTCCAATTAAGAAATTGTGGGCTTCCCAGAGTCAACACAATCAGTATTGTCTGTGGCGACTCAAATATTCTGATTGTCTGTTTGTCCATTTCTAGTTCCCAGCAATTTTGCTGGTCTAGTATCAGTTTCTTTGTAAATCAGTGCTAGTTCAACCACCAAGTCGTCTGGTGCACTGACACTGGGAAATTACTTTGAGTGTAGCAATGTCTGTGGTCATTACCAGCTTCCGTTAGCAATATGTCACTTGTTCAGCAGACGTCTAAGCTACCAACTACGTTGTTTTTCTAAGGCTTACATCTCTTTTAAGCTCCACCTCTATCCTGTAGCCGAAAATATCGAAGACAGATCAGTTGACTGATGCACTGAAAAAGGAGTCATTGACTATCGACCAACTTTTCTACATCCTCTCCAGTGCTGCTGCAGCTAAAGTCAAAGGTTCGCTTGTTCCGTTTAACTTTTCAACACTAAACATTTAGTTGATAAATCTGCTGTTCTGAAGCTGCTGACTAATTTCAGTGAAAAAGGGAAAGATCCTACGCAGTAAGTGTTGAGCTAACTCAGGCGCCGCTTTTGGTTAATCTAGGATTTTGTTCCTATTTCTCTATTTTTAGCCTGTCAACTCTACTTGCTTCCGCTGTCATAAGCGGTGGTACCGCTAAGGAACTTGAGTCATTTGCTCCTTTGGTTAAAAAACTCGTTGAACAGGCTGATGAAGCTGATGGAACTAAACTATTTGTAAGTTTATTTTCAATATCTTGATGACTAGAATGCATGTCTACTGTTAATGGCGAATTTATTTTTAAAAGCGCACTGAGTCGACATGTTGTTTGGGGGGGGGGGGGCTTTTACCCTTTAATGTTATTTCAGTGATGTGTTTTCATCCCTTTTCAGTTCGAAAGAGGCGCCTACACCACGGCATTCGCCGTCGAAAGCATCTTCCGCTTTGCCGTCGCCACGCAGAAGGCTCCCGAACTGACCGAGGTATGTGCACAAAGTGGTGATCTATGCTGAATTAGCCTTGCCACTAAAGTCACTGAAATGCACGCCGTTATTTCAGCAACAACTCATCAAGTTTGCCAACTTCTTGTATGGGAGGCGTCGAGCCCATCATATCCGCACCGCCTCGCGTGTTGCCTCCGTCCTGAAAGTGCTATCGTCGAATGCCTTTATGGTACGTCTGATTTTTGTCACTTCCTTGATACGGTAGTCCTTACACAACACTTGTGAACATACCTCCAAGCATTTCTAGTGATCACTTTTGTTGAGGTGAACAAGGGATTGTGATAACTGGTCAAATTTCCCTTTTCATGTCACCCGAATCTGAAGGGGCTATCCCTTGTGCTTGAGCATTGGCACTTTCTGTATTGTTTGAGATGCCTTTTTGGTGTCATGTCACCATCCTTTGGCGATAGTGAACTTGGCATTGCATTGCGAAGTGACCTAACTTCAAGCTAATTTGGATGTGCTTCGGAGGCATGGGTTAGGCGACCTATATTAGACCATTCACTTCTGTTACTGATGTCAACATGGGGCGTCCTCCTCTAAAGTGCCACACAAGTTTTGATTAGTTTTCAAATGCAAGGTTCTATGCAAAAGCCAACCCCAATACTCCTTCCTACCCCCTTATCTTGCTATTTTTCAAAGCAGCCATCTGCATTGCAGCTTTGTTAACACGGTTGGCCTGTATCTGATACGTTTCCCCGTAACAAAGAGGAAACCACTCAAACCACGGTGCCAGATCCCTTGTTGACGCTAACACCGACCTCCCCACGCTAATACAAGAACAAGACCAGAGCTCGTGTGGAGAGATTTATCCACGTCAGCCACGTACGACGTGGGTTGTCAAAAGTGAAACTGATTCAAGTCAGGGTTGACCTTGACTTGACAAAAAACGTAGCAAAACACGTGTTAGTGAATTAGTGTAAATAGCACCAGAAGCCAACAACGAGCAGTCTTGAGGAATCGTGGATCCCCAGCAGTACCCACTAACCTGTGAAGGCAAAATAAGCGTTTATTTTGCTGTCTAAGACTCCAGTTGTCGTGTACGGCAAGTCGAAGAATGAACGAGCCGGCGTCTCGGGCATCCTGGTGCCGGAGTCACGAGTGGTGCAGCTTCGCGTGTACAACTTGCTCGGTGCTCCTGTAGACGCGGTCTCACTTCAGGCCGGTGGTTTGTACAGGGAGTCTCCCTCGTCCGAGCCGCTCCTCATTGGTCCGAGTAGCCACGGTGACTTCAAGCAGGACAAGGAGTGAGTTGGCTGGCGGCTTGTCGATCTCGTCGGCGTCGGCCCTGCATTGATCCCCTTTGTCTTCTCCTTTAGCGGACTGTTTGTGCTCGATCTAAAGGCCAAGGCTCCTTCCATCTCCCACGGACGATACGCTCTGGCTGTGACCGTCAGTCAAAGTCAGAAGAAAACCGGAGCCACATTGGTGGGCCTCACGGACGTCAGGGTAAGCTTGAAATGTGTTAAAATTGTTTGTTTTTAGACGCGTGGCACTAGTGGTGTCATGCCTCTGTTTTGTATCACCCCTAGATCCCCTTACGTGTGGTTTCCCCAGTGAAAATCGAAGACGCTCAATTCAAACTCTCCGACGCATCAAAAACGATCATCGATAGCCCGTAAGTGTCAGTTTCTGTTTCAGCAAAGACGGAAGCTGCCTCCTTACTAGCCGCAATTCACCTGACCCTCTGTCCTGTGTCCTAGAGTCCAGTTCCCCGGAATGCTTTCTCCTGAAGCCGCAAGGTCTGCGAAGGACGCCGCCGTTCGAATGCAGCACAACTCGCGCTTGCGTTTTCGTTTCACCCTGGTAGACGCAGTGACTGGCGACAAGTTCTCCCCTCACCAGGTCTTCATGCAACTGACTCACAATGCGACCCTCCAGTCCGTCACGTACCTCTGCAAGCAGTCAACCATCGACCAGTCGTACTCATTCACATTGGTAAAAACCTGTACTACCGTTGGTACTCATTTCCGCTCTGGTTTTGCTTGACTGTCCCAATGTGTGCTTCTTGTCACTAGGACGTCGATGGTGCTGCAGGCGACTTCGGCCACGTGTCGGGGCTGTACGCCATGGAGCTGATTGTCGGCGACTTCCTCCTGACCAAACCCGTCGTCTGGCACATTGTGAGTCGTACACCCCTTGATTTTTGTGTTGCGTCTGTAAGGAAACAAGTATCATGTTGTCTGGCCACCTCTTCCACTGATTGGCTCCTCGAAATGGGAGCTCTCGATTGGCCGAAATGCGACCTGGCGTTAAGGCTACCTGGTTTGTACAGGAGGCGATGCAATAGTACTTTGGGCATTTTCAACCAGAGGAGACGATCCTCACCATTAAAAGTGTATTTCTCCACCCACAGACCGATGTTGATCTTCGTTTGCCCCTGGACGCGGACCGCCTGGTCGGCAAAATGGGCGAGGACGTTGCCAGGTTGACCGTCGCCTCGGTGTCGGGGCGTAAACGCGCCGCCCCGCCACACCCCCTGATTGGTGAGGGACCGAGGCCTGCCAGACCTGAGCTCGAGCACACATTCAAGCAGCCTGAACCCCGCCCCTCGGACTTCCTCGCTTACACCTTCACGGCGCTGTGTTGTGTGCCGTTTGTCGTGCTGCTCCTCATGGTAGGTTTCTCGATATTGTGTGTATGCCGGTGCTACTAATAATTTGTAAGTGGCTAGTTGTATGTGGTAGTTCACCTGTTCCACTTTCGAAGTCTGCATCGATTTAAGTCATGTCATTCACGACATTGAAAGCGTACGTGAGAAGTCATGAATTTGATAATCAATCTCAATTCAGTCAAGGTGCGACGAAAACGTACTCTTGGTTATAAACCTAAGCGGCGGAGATTGGAATTCCTTACTAGAACGCAACTCTGCTTTCCCGCCAAACGTCAGTCCTGTGAGGGTGTCCTCAGCCTGCTGTACTTCTTGGTATCCATGGTACGCGATGGTTTCGGTGGCTTGCATGGGGTGTTTAAACGAGGGTCTGCTTAAGTGAAACGAGGCGTTGCCTTATCTGAAACCAGCATCAACAGCCAGGGTGCTACATGTAGACACGCACACACACATGATACCACCCAAAAACCTGTCTTTACATGTTCATTATTAGACCAAGTGCTCGTCGTCTGTGCTCGAACTATCTGTTTTTCGCTTTTATCATTTGTGATGCTACTCAATATCCTCCCCGCTTGTTGCCCTGCTTAAGTCGTATGGCATCTCTGTGTGTCTTGTCATCCCGTTTTCGTTTATCTAGTGGCCAATCATTGGTGCCAACTTGCGTAACTTCTCCTGCAGCCTCTCCGCCGTAGTATTTCACATTGGCCTTGGAGGTAAGTTCTTTGACTTATTGTGGGCCCCAGCATGTGATCGTGAATCACGCCGGGGCCACGGAATTAACCCTAGCCCGATTACGTTTCCCTGGTACCCACGATGAAGAAGAAGACCGGAGAGGACGTGGACACAACCGTCTACTTCAGAGCTCAACCACGCTGGTGTCGTTGTGTGGGGTTCGCGCGTGTGTATTTATACCCCGGATGTGTGAGTTATGGAGACCAGGGTGTGGGGATACTCCAAGATAAATGTCCGTGTGAATGAGGGGGAGTTGAGGATCCGCGCGGCTGGCGACATGCTGCGACAAAGGGAACCCTGTGTAGGAGGTGGAGCGACCGGATTAAGGGTTGTGAATAAACACGATTCACAACAGACTTTTCTTCTATCCTAACGTGCCCAACCTCCAAGTCCTCGACGTTGAAACCGGTGTGCTGTCAGCCACTAACCTGGGTGTGCTTAAAATCGATAGCTGGTAGTAAAGGCCCGACGTAATGTCTTCACCGCGTTAATGTAGAACGTGGTCGCATCCAACGGGCCAAACTTTGTTGTCAAATCCTAATTACGTTGGTTGGTTGGTGTCCTTGGTTGGTGTGGAGGCGGATGTCACTGGTGTTCACTCCTCCAAATAGGCATCTTCGCACTCTACCTCCTCTACTGGTTCAAGCTGAACATGTTCACTACCTTGCGCTACCTCCTCTTCATCGGAGTCGTCACCTTCCTCTCTGGGAATCGTCTGCTGCGCCATTTGGTCAATCGAAGACGCAAAGCCGAGTGATCGAACCGCGGACCGGGTGTCTGTTTGTCCTGTGCTGAAGTCTTTTTTCTACTTGAATAAACTGTTAACAGGTTGTGGTTGTCTTGTTTCTCAAAAATTCGCCCAACACGCGGTCACTCTTTTCTTCTGTGGTCGATTAGAATTGAAGCCGGAAAGTAAACTGTGGTGTATGTGTGCGGTTCGTAGACTAGCAATGAGATACTTCTTCGTTGGCTTTCCACAAATTCAGTCGAAGAATCCTCTTCCCTTTTCATTCGAAAGTGGGCTTCTCGTACACGATCGCAATTTATCCCGACAGGATCTGGAATGTGCCCACTCGTGTGATCTAGGACGCCCTAATGGCCTTTCGCCGTTCAGGGCCACCTGGGATTCGTATATTAATGTTTGGATACGGGTGTGGCGACCAGCAAGCCAGCACAGGTAGCATTCGTGAGAGGACACAAATCAATCGATTTTTTTGCGTGAATGCACTGCTGTGGACAGATAGCCACCGCTCGTGATTGCTGCGTGTGTGCTCGCCCGACTGGATCAATGACTCACCCTCTTTGTTATTGGTTTTTTTATGAGCAGTCGCCTGAAATGCACACGTATCGATAGGCACAAAGAAGTTAGTTAATCGATTTTATGCTACCCGACTTGACTGGTGTGACGCGAAAAAACGGTCGTGTTCTCAGTCGACTAATTGTCTTCTTCTCATGTTGTTTCTGGCTGTTACCTACAGGGTTTTGCGGTAGTGCTAATTTAGGCCCCTACACGGGGATCCAAACCCTCTTTACATGTCTGACTCGTCGGATCGACGAGTTCATGACCCCTGGTCAAAGCCCTTCGGATTTTGGAGTGCTTACAAGAGGCTGAGCGCTTGTTGTTTTGGTCGACAGGACTACCAATCAAGGCTGGATGCTTCCTTTGCGTTTCAAAAACTACCAATCAGCGTCTAGTGACCCATCAGGTGGCAAAACCCTGCTGGGTAATAAATTGACACAATTTATTTACATGGTGGTGCTTCTTTAAAAAAACCGAGTCATATTTGACTCACTTCTCACCTCTTGTGGCTTTGGGACTAGAAGTTTGGAACCATAGGATGAGCAAGGTTTTACCACAAGATTCCGTTGGTGGCATTTCAAGACTTGTTCGTTGCCCGAAGCTAAGCTCTGAGATTAACAAAACGAATCTGTGTGTGTTTAAGCAAACACACGGCCAACATTTTGGGACTCGTACTTAACCGCATTTTGGCTTACAACATAGGGAAGTTGTTTTCAACTGCGACGTTTGACCATGTCAGATGGCCTTTTTTCAAACTCTATGGCACGCCTCGTCCCGATGAATTGACTGCCTCGGCAGATCCTGTCTCTTTTCAACAAATAAAATCATACATGTGGCAGTTTGGGTTGTGAAAGTTCACAAACCCATGATCTATCGCCGCAGCCGTAGAGGTGGTGGCTCAGTTTGAGTGAAGCAATCCCCGATCCCGGCCAATTTGAGAATTCCTCCATTGTCGATGACGAATGGCATGTGGAGGTAGAAGTGTTGAGAGCTTGGACAGATGAAAATTGAGTTTCCACTGATACAACCTTACACAGCAAACATTGTCGAGCCCACGCTGCCCGCGTCTGATTGGCTGTTACGACTTGTACAAATAAAGAACAACTAGCGAGATGATTGGTCACTTCTACCCTTGACAACTTGATAAAGTAATCAACCATAACGAATGTGTGGCGGTAGCCATTTGCAGTTTATGGGAGAGGACTCATGAGACTTATCCCAACTAATTCCTTCGTAAAGCCCGCGGTCATGGGCGAAGTCACTCCGGGTGGGATCTCACTTGACCACGAAGATGACAACTCGCGCGAAATGTCCACGATTGCCTCACGTATGGCTAGCCATCAACAACCCTGACGGTCAGCTAGGTTTGTGTTTGCTGTGGCATTTTGTGTGAACGAATATAAGCATTCGTACCGCAGAAAATACATACTATACCTGTATCCTACTAATTTATCGGACCTCTGGCCCCTCTCACCAATCCCACCCCTGTTCGTTTTTCATGTTTGCAAAAGAATGCAGACGTGGTCAAGTCAGTTTTTTTTAAAATGATCCAAATTTCATCCAGCGTGGGTAGTGAGAAAATGAAATCGCAGGCAAGCTTCAGCGAATGCGGCAGTAGCTTTCGTCTTCCGGCCGCCGGCAGAAACCGAAGCACAAAATCAGCCTGCCATCCGGGAGCTTCGCCTGTCGGCTGATAATGCTCCGCTGAGGGGGGCCAGTGATGCTTCATCTGCAAAAAAGCCACGGCAGTTGAGACAGCAGCTTCCGTCGGCAGAAAATGAAGCTGGAAATTGACGCTGCCGTCCAGGACTTTCGCCTGGCGGCTGATCACGCTCTGCTCAAGGCTGACGGGATTCCGCTTCTCGTGAAGAAAGAGGGAACCGCCGATACCGAGAAAGCGATTTGTAGGCTTAACGAATACATCGCAGATTTGAGTGGGCTGGAGCAAGAGGCGGAGTGTGTGTTGTGCTTCAATATCGTTCATATCATTTCGAGGCGCGATCCTTAAAGACGGAATCACACTAAAACAAATAAAAATTCCCACCTAAGGACTACCTCAAAACTGCTACCGATAACATGTCGTACAGTACATCTATCTCCTGACATGAGTGGCGGAACGTTTCACCCAAGTTAGAAGCAATGGCTATGAAGGAAAACCTCGGGAACTCCTGAGTCGTTAATTCTATTAAGACAAGAACACTGCTGGGGATCACGATGACGGGTGTGTACCTCATGATGTTGATTGCGCAATCCACTAAAGTTGACGACTACAAGAGCACTAATTAAATTAACGCGCACACGCATACATAATTGGAGATCACTTCAAATACTTGCGAGTCGGTACGAATTGAAAAGCTTTTAAACACGACAATTGATGTTGTCATTTTTCGGAACGATTCATCCCTAGTGATGAAGTATCGATCATCTACAAAAACATTAACCAAGAACGATCGTGGCCCGGTCCTAATAAACCAGCATGTAGTTCGCCGTCCACCTGGGAATATTACGAAGTAGGTCAACGTGCAATTCATGGGGAAAGGGCCGAGGTGGAGCGGCTAGAATTGGCAAGGCGTCGCGTACACTTGGCGACTAGAGAAAACGAAATAGTGGAGCGTGAAGCTGCACTATCAGCATTTTCTGACCTTGCGCCATCAGATTACCCATTTTTGGGGTTATTAAAACACCCTTAATGGTGGATCCTTTGGCCAGGTCAATAATCTTGTAGTGAATCGTGCTGATTCACGTTCATTAACCCAATCGTCGCATCCACCCCCGCATTGACCGCCTTTACACGTCAAGCGAAACCATCTGCTCACACACCCCTGTGCGAGTACCTTCCCCCCACCCTACCCGTTTCAGTCATCTGACCACAGTCGCTCGACAGTCACAACTCGGTTGAGGTATTCTGTAAGGGGCTGTTTACCGTCTCTGGTCTTCTACCTGTCTTCTCGGGCACCTGGGTAGCGCAAACGGGCCAAGACCACATGCCGGGGACCTCGGCGACCTAAAGTCCCGTTTATTAGTTACGGTGACTACCACGAGGGTACGAGGAGAAAATTGTGGCAAACCAGATGGGCAACATGTGTGTTAGGTCCAATTTGCTCCTTGTGTGTACGCGAATTGAGTTAACCTGCACACTACAAAACCAGCCTTCTTCACTTACCAACTCAACAGATGACTCTGTACCAACTTCGAAAGCACTCAAGAAACGACCTGGCTAAAATACGCCCTAAGATGGCATTTGCTTAATTATATGTGACTAGGTCAAATGAACATGAGGCAATCTTGAAAACACGTCGACAACAGTGATGCCATATGTTGTGCCGGTGATCTTGCACATATAATTTGTTATTCAAATGCTTGAATTCGTGTTGTGTCGAGCGACAACAATGAGTCGAAGGTTACGAAACACCGCCTGCTCGAGTGCACTCCATCCAATGGAAGGCGCTGGTTCTAACCAACGTGAATCAACTCCGAAACAGCTCTTTTTAATACTGGCTCTGCACACGCGATATCCAAAGCCATTATCATTATCAACTGACACGCCGACTGTGCGCCTTCATTAAGACGAGAGCAAACACGCCATGGCGATCACACAAAACTACAGCTGGTACAAAGTGCTGCGTTCTAATTCACAAATCCCGTGTCGCGTTAATCTAGCTGTTTTGGAAGCACGCGGCGTCTGAGCTACCGACAACAAGTGCTCACAGACGTGGGTGGGGCTGTCACGACTACCGATGGCAGAGGCACACACGCTCAGTGAGCCAACAAATTACATGCACTGGTGCAAAGAGGCTTTAATAACCCAATAAAAAGGGCAAGTGGTTAGGGGCTAAACTCATTTCAGAATGCGCCGCTCGAATACACGCCTGGGCTATCTTGGTCCGGTGAAAACGAGAGTGATTTACCCCGAGTGAAGAGTTGTACGTGTGAACATTGAAACAATGTGACTGTGAGTCGGGGTATTTCTGAAAAATCATCAATAGAGCATAGCAGAGAAGTTACGACTCTCCCAAGGAATGATTTTTAGATAAATTGACACTCCACTTCGAAGACTAACTTACTCACCAAACGGAGATGTTCCAAATCCATCCTCCACCACCCACGAAACACTCGCATAGGTTCTTTTTTTCAAACGACGCTGTCGGCTAAAAGTAAATTAGCACCACCTTAACTAATTCGTTTGCATTGACGAGGGTGACAGGAACATGTCGTAAAAATTGATATTCATAGCCTGGAAAAAAGATTGCAAAACACGAAAGGTACATCTTAGCTCTCGCCTTGGTTATTTAAAAAGCCATGGCATGTGTTCTAGAAACACATCGGGGCCATCACGTTGTACCAACCAAGTCGTTTTGTTGCTACGTGTGCGTACTTACAGTCGTGCATACTGATCGCATTTATTGACCAACACTTAGGGTGAAGTATTAGAAGAAGTACAAATGACTGAATGGCCATTGGATTGAACAAGAAATGAGACAGTACATGGATGAACTGAAGAGCCCGCATGGCTGACGGTCACGCTGTGACCCTGGGGTGCAGTGTGGACGAGAATACGACGACCGGGTTAATGGACGTGAGTTAGCACGTTTCACCCTTGAAGCAATCAGCAGACTCTGAAATTAAAATGCTCTTCTTGAACAGGACGACTCCAATTTCCCCTAAATAGAAACAATATCTGCCATTTTTAGATGTCACCAGCTACACACCATGCCCCTTGTGATCTCAGCTCCGGGACCTACACACATCTCTGAAGTCACATCACGATAGAGCGCATTTAAACAGAGGACACGATAAAGCAAACAATTTGGACAGTCCAGAACAGGCGACAATAGTGAAGTAGTGATGTATTTTGACCGCTAATAATAAACAACTGATAGCAATCAGTGGACTGTCAGTATTGTACTACTGACCACTATCAATAGCCTTAATGGTATGTATATATAATGACACTGAAACAGTTTAGAACAATTCCGCTTTTTGGAAAATGCGACCTCAGTAAATGCACCATTGCTTTGACAAGATAAGGCAGTGGGGATCACTGTGTGAGGCTAAGATTATTAACATCAAAATAAAAAATGGCTGCCATAAGGTGGTTAAATGTTAGGTGATGTGGGAGGTCAGAAAATGCTGGTATTTCTTCAAGTACAAATTAAAAACTGCCATAGAAGCCAAGCAAAATTTGGGAGAAACATCAAAAGTTGTCATAAAACCACTTTAACAAAACACTTGACTTTTCTGGTATCTACAACTAGAATACCTTCATTACCGTATCGCACGCAATCGAACGTTTTAATGCTGCTCAAACGTCCCAACAGACCTAAGAACACAATCCCTTAAAACCTTCCAAACACTATTACGCTGGGGCTGCCAAAACACACTTTGTATCAAAGGCATGTTCAAATCACATCAACGCACTTTTTATGGGCTACAACACAGCACAACTCACTAATAAGCTCTGCCACTAACTCCAACACATCCAACGCCGCGATGTATTTATTAATTCTACAAGCCACTTTCTCGAGACCGGCAGTTTCAACTTTTCCACATTCGACTTGATCAGACAATGATCAACCGCCAGATGAAGAACCCGGAGAGCGGCATCAACCATCCGCTTCAGTTACCACCTTCACTTTATGCCGGTGGCTTGAAGACGAAAGCCGCTGCATCATTTGCTGAAGCTTTCCGGCGATTTCATTTCCTCACTAAAGAAATGGCAAAAATTACGTTTCATTTGATAAGAACAATTTAAACACGGTTACACTGCCACGAGGATAAATAGGTTGTTGAAAAGGGCTGCAGACTAAAGAATGAGGAAACCGGACGTATGCATATTACACGACTGCTCGAAAACGGAAACCGTTGAAAAACGACTGAAGCCAACAACTCTCTTAACAATGACATTGTTTTCCTACTAAGGTTCTGGACTTAATAAAACCCCAACAAAATAATTAAATAAAAACAACTGCGAAGCAAACCCATGTAACGCGACTACCAAGCGGGGACCTAAATAGGTAGATGACTGTTAGCTCGTCCCTCTTAGATAGCCATACCATCGTGGTTAGCTACCAGGCACACGATAGAAGAATAGCTGGAAGAACCGGATGTTTTCCGTACTACCGTGTACAAACTCAGAGGGCTAGAGCTTACGAACAGTTAGGGTGGGGAAAGGGATGGCCGCGAGGAGGGTTGGTGCTGCCCTCGGAAGGCGAGAGTGCGGGAAGGGAGGGGAGGACAAAGAACAGGTCAGACCGGCGTGCGCGGGTCGAGTGACGCGCGTCACACCCACCACACGCAACACCACCGCCTACCACGAGCCCAAGGACGACTGATGTATTTGGTTCATATAAACAATTCCATCGTCAGCCTGTGTGTTCTGCGGATAAAGCAACTTTTCAAACATTTCTATATTGTTTAGATATGTTTAAACCCTTAGATTTCTAGCAAAAAGTTGTGTTCTTCAAATATGCAGTCACTTAATTGTTATATTCAGAAATTTATGGCGTAGAATTTAAGTGGTTGATTTTGGGTTTTTTGGTTAACAGTGGAACATCTAAAATGCATACTACTAGTTGATCACTTTAACATAAAAATTAATTGTGGAAAATGTGTAACTATTTTCAGTCTCATTCATTATTTGCTAGCTACGCAATTTTCTTATATCAATGTTTGGGTTTTGTTTACCTTTGTTACAAACTGCTTAAGATATACTTTAAGGGGGCATTAAGAGTCATGCTATTTAACATCTTGTCAAAAATCGAAGTCATGAGTTTGCATTCCACTTTGGAAGGACTTCCTGGTTTTTTCTGGTTCAGAAGTCAAACCTGTACTTAGGCATAATTGAGACTTAAAATTAGCCCTTCTAACGATAGATGTTAGCAAAAATAACATAATACATGAAACATTTTATGGGTGTGAGTTGCAGAGGAGCGCAATGCAGGAATCGAATTAGTGGTCTTAAATGTAAAGTGAAATTGGAATAATTTGAAAGTAACTGCTGCCGCAAACATGTAATGTGGGAGACATGCACTGGTCTAAGAAAAAGGAAGCATATTAGGCCGTCACTAAAAGGACCTATTCTAGTCTATGCTTCGGTAATTGCATAGGAGAAAAGAATCATAAATTGTATGTAACGAAAAAATATGGCTGTAAAGGAAGAAATATTCATGAACATCTAAGTATTACAAATTGGACCGGTATACATGAGTCAAAACCAAATTAGCAATCCTATGTTATGGATTTGTTGTGACGACTGTGTGGTAATGATCCTTTTTCGTAAGGTCACAACCTAGCTGTATGTGTGGAGGCATAATGAGACACTACAATTTTGACAGTGCCTGTGACTGAGATGAGATCTTTGGAGTCTGTGTTTTAGACTACGAATGTAGAAATTTAGATAAGATGGATGATAGATTGGACTAGTGCAGAACGCATTTCTTGATAGCGATTGGATATATGCAAATACATGGCTGACCTATTTGGTTGCAGAGCTCTCTGATGAGAGAGCGGAGGAAGATTGGGGAGGTAGTAGGTGGATGGCAGTGTCAGTCATGCGAAATAAGTAGGGAACCAACGCAGAGAAAGTGATTGCTCCAAACTGACCACATAAGATGTTGCCCCTGACTTTGACCACTCATCTCTTTGGCGAACGATTTACGCTGAACCATAAGCTGTCTTCACTAGTAGAGGTTCCCATTATGATGGCTTTCACGTCGGTAGCTCTGCACATTGCGTAATAGTAACGCCGACAAAGTTGAATTTTGGATAGGGCGCTTGCATTTGCATATTTTTTTATCAGTGGAATTTGAATTAGAAGTTAAATTTGGTTAGAGCCTCTTGCCAACGACCCAGCTGATCCTCAGATTTTTTATAACTTCCAAAGATAGGAGATGATCTGGAGATCTGACTGGTTTCTCTTCCGGATATCTGGCTATCATTTGGTGAGGGCAACGAAAACGAAGCATTGATTACTGGGCATTATTGTATTTGTTTTCAGTTTTCACACCTTTGCCCATTCGGAGCTCTGCCTTTCTTCACAACCACCACAAACAAAAATCAACCCGGCTGAAAGCGAGAATGCATGGAGTGGAAGTAGTCTGTTAAGCCATAGAACGACCGCATATCGTCAGCTGACCTCATTGAATTCAAGAGGGTCTGTAGGAAATAGCACTTTTTGGATTGATGGTTGAGTCTGCAAGGCGGTACCCGTGAGGGATCTCCACAAGCTTGTCTAATGTTTCACGCCAAGTTGAGCCAAACACAATGACTTAGTCCAGGTGGAATAGGCAGTTCTGTAAAAGGAAATCTTGTAGGACCTTTCACAGGTTGGCACGTGAGTGTGTTTTAATAGACGTGCAACAAATACAGCGGCTGACTTCACTACATTATTGCTTATGCAAGTTTTTTTACCTTGCAGTCCGAACGCTTCAAGCGATGGCCTTTTGTTGAATCCCAGAAGATACCGCATTGGTACGAATTGGCAAGTTAGAGAACAAATCGGCTGCCACGGCGGATTTTGTCTACTTTGTTGAAGGCCCACAGTCCATGAGCTATCGCCGCAGCCTTGGAGTTGGCGACGCCATCCGAATGAAACATATGCAACGCCCATTCTCGTGCATTTTTGTGTTTTTTACGCTGTTCCCAAGGCCACCAAGATGTCGTCAAAGAGTGTCTCTGTGTGGTATGTTGCGTTGAACATGTCCGCAATTTAGATTATCTCCATTTTCATGTCTGTTAATCTTAGACAAACCGAATACACCCCTTTCCTTTTTGATTCCAGCCCAACACTAGGCCCACACAAGTGCGAAAATTCAGACCCGACCCAATTATTAGAGTTGGTGCGCCAACGCTACGATAAGCCTTGGTCCCAATTTAGCCACAGAACCCCTGCAAATTGCATTCACTGGGAAATCGTGCGTTGGAATATCCTGTTTCGGCGACTAATTGAAGTTAGTAACAACCGGTGTTTTCACACCGTCCGGAGATGTCAACTTTATGATCAGTTAAGGTGTAGAAATTCATGATCGAAAGTTCAAAATACATTGCGACTGTGGGATTTTATGACCGTGACATTTAATGAAGTTGGAAAGGGGGGCCAAATCAGTACTTGACCAATTGACGCACGGCAACAAACTCCGCACCCTGGCTAACTTGCTTTGTGGATTTTTCTCTTTCAGTACAAGAAGGCAATGTCCTCACTAGACTGAAAGTGACCTGTGAATAAAAAGTGAAGCAATTTGACTTTAGACTAGAATCCACCATGAAATGAGAATTTACTATTGAGTCATTTGGACCGTGCCCTACGCAAACCCAGTTGGATTTGAGATTGCCGATGTCACAATCAGGTGGTAATTGTGTTGATGTGGTAATGAGGAAGAAAATCAATGTTGCTTGGTGCTGTTTGTTGGTATTTTGTACAAAAGATGAAGTTTGCCAATTGTAATTAGTTAATAATCATCAGTGCCATTGGCTTAGTGGGATTAAAGTAGAAATGCTTCACCCACGAAACCCCGCCGATGACCCAACTCGTAATTCCGACTGACTTTCAGGAACCGATCTTTGAAAAACTCCTGTATTTTTCCCATCCTAGAGAACAAGGGCAGCTGGGCCTGTTTTGCACTAACAACGTTTTACAGCCTCCTAGCAACCACATCCTAATCTACTGCCGATGCTTCAAGTACATGCATAACCAAATAGTCAGGTCTTCTCGTAATTGGGAAATTTAGGTGATGAGGCCATGGGTTCGCCAGTCCTGCTCTTAGGCAAAGCACCTACACCTGATCTGGACGATCGACCGCAGCGAACCACCACAAGGTAGTGGAATGACGGTCTCCAACCTGCATAATCGCCAGTCACTTGCTACAACTGCCACAGGTTATCACTCCTCGTAACAGGTTGTAGCTGGGAACGCGACCAAAATCAGCCGGTTCTGATTGGACCAGCACTTATTCTGAAAGATTGCCGAGAGTCACATGCAATCAATGGCGCAGTTAACCAAGTTATCGGAAGACTAACAGTAAAGCTGCCTAGATTTGACTCGCCAAACCTCGCCCGATTAAGTCAAAAGAGATGCAAATGGAAATAGTGATTGTCCGGCATAGTAAGTTGAATGGTAGATAACAATTTCTTCAATCATCGCATAATGTTCACATGGGAAAGGTTCAAGCGAGTGTACAATGGCGTAGGTAGCAACACGATAATTCTAAAATGAAAGGAAAATCAGTTAAAAGGAAAGAAAAAAGCTTGGAACGAGGGTACACCAATGGCTACAGGAGTTGCACCAGGCAAGAAACCGGACACTTTAAGGGAAAGATGGTAACTAGCGGCGTGGGTCAAACCGCCTTGAGCTGGCGACAATTAAAACCCATTTATGTGCGGTAGGAGTGAGATGGAATTTCACTCACATGACCAAAATCTGCGCAGGAAGAATCGCAGAGCAGCAGCCAGGCCCAACGGTCCCAGGAGGATGGCGGAGATGCCCACTAGTATGGTGGCGAATTGCGACTTAAGCGACTCCTCAGGCGAAGCAGCAAAAGCTATGAGCCCCTCCTAGCGAGAAAAGCGAAAAAATGGGGAATAAAATGGTTTGCCTCCAGAACGCGATGCGGTGTCCCTCCCAAGTGTGATTGGCTTGGACACGTGTACCGACTCTCTACCCAATGACAACAATGATACAATGCTTTCGTGTGTCGATGTACAATGAAAATGAATGAAGAGTTGATCTTGTAGATAAGCATTGGTGCAGGTGAATCGCGAATGCATCCGTGCAATTGCCTAACCCAATCAAATTGATTTCGCGCTTCCCCGACAGAACACAACTTCAACCCCTATAAGGCTCGTCTTCTAGTGAAGCATATTCGGACAAACAGCACTACTTTTCAACGTGGGCCTGTCAGTAACACGTAATAACACTACATGTTTCAGCCAATGGCCATTCAGTCATGTGTACTGTAACTAGTTCACCCAAACTGTGGTGGTTAGCTACTTCATTGTCCATGCACGAACGCGACAACAGAAGGGCTAGGTTGAGCCACCTAGTAAACAGTTGCGTCGCCACCGCGTCCGGTCCGACGTGTGTGGCGTGGAAATCCTGTGCCCCACGCCTCAAGCCATTTTGTCCTCCTTCGTATCCCGCCGTGCAATCATTCCTCGTAAGCCACGCCCGACTCTAAGTCCTGCTTCTACCTCTTCGTTCAACGTGGCTTTCGCCCTCAAAACTCACTGGCGAGAATTCAAATCTCCGTCAACCCGTAGCTTAGAAAAAGGCAATCAAACCTCGATGCGCCGACTGTCCAAACAAAGTCACAAAAGTTTCCATTTTTAAGCCATTCGCCAAACATTACGGTAAAGATACCTAGCACGTCCATCGGGGGGTGTTTATGAAGGCCAGTGGGCCACCAAAGGCTCACCCAGTTATCATGCGCCTCAATCCACTCCGCGAGGCGCGACTCCTTGTGGATGAATTCAGTGGTCCAGATGAGGTAGTGCATCACCCGTCGGTCGAGTTTGTCGGCTGCGGGTGATGGGCCGTCAGATTCGAAGTCGGGTGTCACTGGAGGCACGAGGTTGACGCCGGCCGGAACAAAGTCCGTCTGGTCGTGCGATCGAGGCGGCGACTGCGAGGTCTTTTGTGGTTCCATGGAGGACTGGCGGGATTCCGGACTGGTCTCTCTGTCGGAAGGATTCCATTGCTGAAAGCAGAGAACATGGATCCACCTTAGTCTCTACAATGACAGGTACCGGTGCTTGAATCGGGTCAATGCCCAGACTCGTCTTGACACGTAGTTGGTCATGTGGTGAATCGTGTTGATTCACGTCCCTCCACCGTGTCGCCGCATACTCCAACACACCGCCCACCCCCTCCTTGTTCACAGTGTGCCCGTCAGCCATACGGAACCGCCTTCTCCAGCGCCTCCCTCCCCCCTCCCACCCGTTTCAGTCTTTTGTTCTCTAACTAGTTCACACAAACACAGACCTTATTAGTCATGCCGGGGCCTCTCAGCGGTCTTGCCATCATGTAAAGGCGCGTGTGGAACTGGACACACGATAGAGTTCCACTGAGCGATGAAATGGACCTTTTCTGCTGGCGATTACAGATTTCAATTTTCCGAGTTTTGAACCCAAAAAAGAAGGTCACGAAAGGAGCCTTGTCAATGAGGGGCTTTTGGTGCGTGAAGGTGGAACCCTGTGGGTTATGTGGCCTAGCCTTTCTGCGCCGTACCTCCCGGTGGAAACGCATAGTTCACCCCACATAATGATCGAGATCTCCCCTCACACCGGGTCATTAAGAAATTTAACTTCAAACATTAGTAAGACCAACACAACTGAGTTAGAGAATCACACTTTTACTAAGCTCCCTTCAAATCACACCAGGTGGTACTTTTAGACTATTTTAAATAGCTCAGCATGTTGGTGTTCGGGCTGGCTTTCATAGCTAAAAAAAAGATGAACTGAACTCCGTCAAGTAATCGCTTGTGCTGCAAGTGACACCACAAGAATACGCTGATTCCAGATGGAAAACGCCGTATTACTAGGCACGAAACTGGCTCGTGAACGCTAGTGGCTAGACCAAGACAACCTAATCGCAAAGTTGATGTGAAAAATGCTTGCAGTGATGTCCGCTTTTTCCCAGTGTCACTTAAATCTCGTGAAAGTTGTCTAAAGTGTCTACTGTGGACTGGTCCAGTAGTACACGCGGCTGGCATTCAAAATGCCAATCGCGATGGATAACGGTGCTGATGTTAGGGTTAATTTGTAATGAAAACAGGAGAAACAACAAGGGATACGTCTTGTCAGGTAGAGAATGCGACCTCGCTGCGCGGGTTTCCAACAGTCAGCCAGACTCACTTGGGATCCGGCGCGGGAACTGCCGCAGGCGGAGGAGCGCGAGGATTCAAGCACCTCACACAGCGCCCTCAAGAAACTCAGCATGGCGACAATCCGGCCCCAGTTGATCTGCTGGGCGAAGAGGCTGTTGAGGATCGACATGTACTGGGACCGCGCGGTGTTCAGGGACTTTCTTTGCTGTTCCTACAACAGGAAGCGTCTATAAGGAGTGTAAATAGATTAGTAGTATCCTACGCCCTCAGTTAAAACTATCAAAATGAGCTTTAAATTGTCGGCGGTGGTATCAATGCGCAACTTAGTTATCAACTAGCGACCAATGTTTTAATGCAGGCTTACGATACATCGCTAAGGCGAATACTTGAGCGGAAACGTTCATTAGCCACGAATGTATTGTTTAGTCTTCCCACGAAACCCGAAACATGTTGACAATGGAATCATTGTCAAGTCACCCATGCGTGTCTGGCCAAGTGAGTGTGGCTTGAGGTGACTCACAATGGCGGAGGACAGATCGGTCTCGCAGTCGTTCTCCGAGGTCGATGGGGAGGAGGTTGAGGCGACGGGACCGTTGTACACCCGCAGGGCGTCACTCACGAGACTGTCAAACTTCTCGGCATAGCGTTTCTCGAAGGAATTAATTAGCTTCTGGGCGGCCGCCTTCGTCTCGGCACTAATGCTATCGGGCACGGGTGCGGAGTTGATCTTTGAATGAGGCGGAGGAGGAGGAGAAGCCTGGACACGAGGCCCCGCCAGGTCATCGGGAAGGATCTGAAAGTGGTGTTGAAGCAGAACCAATAGGTAGCACGTTTTCGGCCAGTACTTTATTGTAATCTATACACCACATTAAGCGCATTCGTGATGGAACACAAGCAGCATCACAATGTGATCAAATTAGATCACAACGGACGAAATCAACTGAGAATGAACGTAGCACGAAAGCGGGAGGAATAAATTAAGCAAACGGTGTAGGAGGTGGGAATTAGCGCTTGATCAGTGTGTGAGGTTGACATGAAGTTTACCACTTAAAAAGAGAAGCAATTTGCACTACGTAAACGGCCAATACGTAAAATTGACTTAGCAATTGGGACAGACTTCGGTTGAAATCGCATTAAAAGACAAAACAGTATGTAGCTAGTTCTGACGGCAGATCAATCTAACACGAATGAGTAGTTATTATACGTGATCCTGCATTTCACGTAATCAGAAAAACACTGACAAGGAAGTAATTAGCTTTGACAGATCGTTTTTTTTCTACAAAAAAATCGATAATTAAGTTCAAAGCTGTGGGACATAAATAAAACACGACATTCGGTCCCTGGCACGATCTTGTAGTAATGCCCTCATAAAACTTGCGATTGGCTAGTTGAAATTCCAAATATTTGGGCAACGATTGCTACCGTCGCTTGTTTCGCGATTTAACGGCCATTTGTAGGACAGGCTGTGCGATGCGGAAACGCGTTAAATAGTGCTAACGCAGTTCAGCACTCGCCCACTTTCCAGGTGGGTATTGCTATTGGAGCATGGGGAGGACATACGCCTTAGCCATGAATTTTTCAGGAAAATGCCGATTTGTCCTTGGAACGAAACCCCTGAGACACCACAACCCGTTTTTAACAAGACAGGTGGTTCCCCCCTTGTGTGATAGAGATGGAAGCTGTGAGTTACAAGTATCCAGAGTGTGGGAAGGCAAAAATACTGCGGGGCGAAATCGTGTTGACTCATGTCCATCCACTCTGTCACCGCATGCTCCGACACTACTACACGGAACAATCTTCCCACGCACTCCCGTGCAAGCACCGCCCCGCAACTTGCCTCACTCATCTGGCCACTCAGATATTTGTACTTTATGGGTCTCAACAATTACAGGACATCGAAAATGTCCACGCACAGGACAATAAAAATAGGTGGAGACGTCTAGTAAACGGTTGTCGCCACTGTCTTCGGTCTTCTAAATCCTCCGAGGAACCTGTGTGGCTTAATCGGGCCAATACAACGGGAAGCTGTTCGATACCACCTTCAACAAGGCAACTTCCTCCTCTTCCTAAAATGCCAAAGCCCACACAAGTGCTTTTACCGACTTTCCAGAAGCACCCTGCACCTCACGACTTCGGTGCAGGGCGAGTGAGGTGCCATCGGAATGAAAAAGTCCAAATATTTCACTGGGTGCACTTTCAAGCGGGCAATCAATAACTGGACAAAGTGCAGTCAAGGCATGTAAACTTGCAATTCGCACAAAATCAAGAGGCCTTTCCATTATGATTTACAGATTTGGTCTGTGAAGAGGAATAAACGAGCATTTCTGCAGTCGAGATTACAACGAATCGTCGCACGTCTTATTTGAGGACAACTGTCAGAAAAACAATAACACCAAACAATAATTAGCTAACCACTAAAACAACCTACAGCCCGTATCGACTATTAAAAGTCATCCAACGCAAAAAAACAGGTAAACGAAATCGGGTTTATTTTTGCTGGTTTAACAGACAGATAAAAAACAAGACAGCCACACACTAACACGCACGAACTTGGTTTTTTTTCCCAAGACAATGATTGGACGGTGAAATCGAGTTGCACTTTGTGCTGGGTACCGTTTCACGGTGGCTGCCTATTTCTGAGCTAGTGACGTACGCGTTGTTCAGAAGAGAGGCATTTCATTTCTCAGAATATTCAACAGTCAAACCCAGCGCCATTTCCAATCACATGACGCTTCGGCGATGAGGCAGTTGGTGCGGCTTCTGGTAACAGGCACGGTAGTGGGAGAAATAAATTTCCCATGTCTCTCAGACACCTTGAAGTGTCGCGCGGCAGAAACACAAATCCAACCGGATATTTGAAAATCAGCCTGCTTATTTAACTGTGAGCGACCGAGTCATGAAAAAAAACTCAACTTGAGAAACTGCTGGAAAGTCCTGAGTCAGTCGTCGAGGCACATGACCAAGAGCTGACCTCGTAAGTTGGACTCCGACTGTTTCGGTGAAGAACAAGCCGTTCAGCTTTCTTGCCTGGGCCGAAAATCGATCTTCGCTGTGTCGAAGCCCCCTAACAAGTCGCCTGTCCAGCGCCGAAACACACCGATGTCCTGTTTTGTGATTAAGAATTCGCAAATGCACAGTTTGCTAGCTAGCTAGAGGTGTGTGTGCGTGTTGTGTCTCATGGGTGTGCGATTCATTGCCCTGTTTAAGGTGTGACAGGCAAGCCTACAGGCTCGAACCCAGGGTCAGATCGGCTACCTACCCCCAAACAGGGTGTTCTTGAAATACGCTGTAGTGCGAGACGATTGTGGGGCGTTGAAAGGGGGCTACATTGTCACCAGAACACCAAATGTTGGGGGGGTTTTGTGCAAAAAATAGACAAAACCGTCTGAGTTGAGTGTCCAATTAAGAGGCTTACAGAGCGTCAAGTAGAAGAAATGTCGAAATAGACCTGTGTGTTCGGGCAGACGCACATATTGGGTTTCCTGAGCGAAATCTGGGGAATATTACAGCGATTACAGGGATTGGCTTTGACGAGATCCATGTGTTACAATGGATCTCACGGCGTTGACTAGCTTGCAAGCTAACTTAGCAGACTGAACGATGAAGCATCGCATTTTGGGGAAGGCATAACTATTACCATTGTGGTTTTCTGTGACGTGAAATAAGCTAAAACACTGAGTTAGGCCGAGCACCAATTCCACCTCGAGTAATGGCCCCATTCTTTATCGCAAAAGGGGTTCATTTTATGCACAACCCGTCGCGGAAAATGGCGGACGAGGCAGTGATTCCTGAGGGTATTTGAAACTCTACGGTAGAAGGGCTGTCGACGGTGGAAATTCCTTAAAAGGAACACCCCCTTACATACAGCACCTTCACGTAGGTAGCTATGGTTACTGAATGAGGAGTACGTTTTGGAAAGAATCAGAAAACGAGGAACACTTCTGAAATAGATCATCCACCAAATCAAGCTCGAATTTTGGGTGCAGGAGAGCAGCACTTCTCAAAGCACTCCGAACAACTTGGAGCCGCATTACGATGGCAACTCGCCTTATCTACTAACGGAAGATTCCAAATAATTAGGTTACGATTCGCCTATCTGTTGAGTTAGGCAGGGCCCAAGTCAATCTGGACAGAAGTTAAGCCTTCCAAGGCGCTAAATGATTTAAAAAACAGCTGGAATATCGGAATTTTAACTACGCCAATTGAAATAGTCGCATAAATGGAATTTTTACATCGGCATAAACTAATAATACATAAAGACCGTGTTGCCTTTTGTGAAGTATCTTGATGGTTTTAAATGCCAGCACACACCTACTCTATGCCTGATTGAAGAATTTCAGGTCTATTTACCAACGACAAAGAGAAACCATAAAAAATTGCACCTGAAAAGTACAGGACGGCCTCACCATAACGGGCAGGATGTTTACTTATAATTTCAACAATTTTTATAGCCAAACACCGAAACTGTTGGCAGGGATTACACGCAGGCAAAGCTGAACAACCACATGACCTATGTGCGATGTTTAAAAGCGAGCAGCAAACAAATGCGGTTACAGAGTTACACTATTACTAGGGGGGAAGCCACAAGACCGAATTCGGTTTCACCGCGACCAACATTCTCGTGGAAAACGAGCGTCCATGTGACCGACGTACGAAACAGGCAAACGGCCACACACGCACACACACACACACACAAACACTAAAGGAGAGAAAAAAGTGCCTTTTCTACCGAAAGCACAGGACTGACAAGAACAGTTTCCTCCGCTCACGTGCCAAAGCACTAAAGGCGAAGTGAAGGTTAGGCATGATCTGACCAATTGAATTGCGCTTGGCCAGCAGCCAGAAACCAATCACAATCCAGGTACAGAAGCAAGACTTTTCTTCCGTCTAACGACTGATGTCAAACATACAGGCTCAACCGGAATGTGGAATTTTTCTTCTTTTCCGACTGGTTAAGGCTGCTTTTTTATAAGCTAAATCTACATAAATACGATAGATATTCACTGCGTACGAAGTCCAGATAGTTACTATGATTAGGATTTAAAAGTCCAAGTTCATTAGAGCATTCTAGCAGAGTTAAAAAGAGGCATATAGACGGGAACTGATGATACTTTCCAGAATCATCAGACTAAATCCATGTTGTATATTTGCAAATTGTTGATCAAGGATCGGTCTCCCTTGATTTGTAGCCGTGTTTCGCTGGGTTATGTACAGATGGCCTGAATTGGTGATGTCACCATACAGACTGCTGTAATGATGAATGCTTTTGGAGGGTACAAGTACTGATGGTGATTTCGTCGTGATAAACTATCCACCAGAATCTACTGACAAGTAATAGAGGACCTGATCTGACGATAAAGGTGGCATTATGACTCCGAATCCCATCAACCTTCAGAAGGCAACATCGCCCATAACGCCACAGGAAATGCAGCCGTCTGACACTTTCCAACCAACTTCTGAAAATTAACATGATCCCGCACACACGCACGCAAGCACAACTGCACCCACGACATTCTAAGCAGTAGTTCAAAGAGATGTTTACCGTTTGCAGAAAAAAGAACCTATAACCAATTTTGGACCTGCGACCCAGTCACGGAGAGATGTACTTTACCTTCTAGCGCAAAGGACTGAAACAGCAGTATTTACCACCAGTGGTGAAGTGCGATTAGACATAACTGTGCCAGTCGAACTGTGCTTGGCAAGCAGTCGGTCGCTCCACGACTACCATGACCGGAGTCCTAAATAAATTAGCCAATTACATTGCACGCGATGGGCCAAGCAATGCCAATTTAGCACACATAGGAAAACTGCCAAGAAAACTGGTAAGGACCGTTAAGGATAACTCTCGCGAAAACAGCTGAAACAGAGGTATGCGTGAAGGAAGTAGACGGGAAGGATAGGTCCTTTCTTTTTCAGACAAAAAAGACAAACAAGAAGTATCGACAACCTACATCCATCGCGTGGAATTCGTCATTGTGCCTTAGCATTGCCTGCCAGCGATTTTCACCTGCGTCCCCATCCTTATCTCTCGGCTCCTCCTCCATAACTGAGGACTTTGTCGCGGATCGTTGTCGATAATCTAGCAGGGGTTCGATCCAGTCAGTGGGAACACGGGACTCAACAAGAGAGGATAGGAGTTGAAAGGTACGGCGGGTGGACTTCTCGCGAAGCAGTGCGTCCATCGATTTGAGGCTCGCCAGATCCCTTTCTTCGGAGAGACACTTCATAAGCCTAGTGCGAGGGAGAGATTGGGGGCACTGGTCGAAGAGGGGAGGGCTCGGGGAACGCGTCTGACGCATGACATTCAGAGTCGCAGAGGAAGATGAGTAGCCAGATGACGACGACCAAGAACCACTGTCCTTTCCAGTACAGTTACTTCAAAAGAAAACACTGGTAAATTATTGACAGACATTGGTATAATAACGAGGACCACAACAAATGTGGGCATTAGTACGGTATTCAATTTTATAATAATTGATTATTAGACGCTGATAACCCAAGAATATATAAGTTTGGTCGCTTCCCTTATCTTAGCAGTTCAAAAGCCAAGTCTTTCTAATGACCAGCAATTGAAAAAATTGCAGCTTAGGTTTGTTTTTAGGTGGAGGAAATGATAATGCACCTTAGAGTTAATAAGTGTTGGCTTACGGTAAAACCCGTCGTTCCTAGCGCACGTTAATGACAATCAGGATACAAGGCCACCACGAAGCCGATTCAAGATCGCTCAGCCGGACTTTATTTGCGCGCCACATAAAATTTCTGACATCAAAGGTTTTGGGAATTTCAAAATTAAAAATATGACATCAGCACAAGCGGCTTTCCGGTTTATGTGACGATGTGGGACTACCGATTTATCAATGTACAATTTGGTACCTAAACAACAAAAAGCAGAAAGCTTCTAATTTTAAGACCCATATTACCAAAAAAACTATATTAGTATTGATTAAAAAATTAAAAAACGAACGTCTTGACTAGGGGGGGGGGGTAAAGTAGACCTGGCAATGAACAAAACTCAACAACACTTCACAGACTATAAAGACCCTAATGATCACTACAGTCTGGTTATAATTTCAACCTGAATTCAGCACAAATATGGAGCGAACGTAGTAGATGACAGGAAATAAGCAAGTGTTTAAACTCGAGTTTCCCCAAAATTCCTGGAACTTAGTGTGGAGACAATCGTGCATTTAGAGCCCAAACGATTGTTATTTATACTGTGAGGGGTGAGCCTAGCATGCTTTAGGTCACACAAATTGCTTATATGTTTTAACATTACAGCTGCACATCCATTTCAGAGTCAGATACAGATAACATTAGTCTTACTGTAATACCGTATATATTCAAAAACCATTCATTCCTTAAAGACATCCAACTTAAGAGTGACTTTTCAATTCTCTTGTTAATGTCTAAAGATTGCACATTAATACCATAATTAGTGCTCGACCAAAGAACCACACAACATAGCAATTTGGCAGACTAATTGTGTCGACTTAATGACCGTAAAAATAGACTCGGACGTATAAAACATCATTACAATAGAGACGTACACTTGTGACGACTCACAGACGTCAAGCATTTTAGAAATACCCGACATTTAAACCTAATGCCCACAAAACAGGTTTACCGTGATGAAGTACGCACCATGGAAAGTGCAAACTAAAACAAGAATTGGACATGACCTAAAGATCCCGGTAGGTCCCTTAATACCAGGACATCATCACAGTACTGTTTTATACTTTAAAAACAGGTTAAGTAATTTGTTCTGTATTTTTGTGAAAAAGTTAGCAAATCAGAGATAAATTTTTAAATAATTTATTTAATGATCCTAATCTGTGTCAAAGAAATTTAAGTTATTGTCAACTGATTTCTGTTACATTTCAACTCTTAAATGTTTTGAGATATCAATCTAGTTGCTTCAGTACAAGTAATGAAAACAGTATATTTGAAGTTAGTGGGGTGAATTCTTTGAGGTTGACGAGAGAAAATGGTTGCTAATCTTGATCAGTTACGTCTGATTGATTGCTAAGTGCTTTGCCACTGTGTTCCTAAATAAAGGTACAGTTTATCTGTCGTGGTGTTTGATTAGAGAAAACTTGTACGCGCCTTAAATTGAAATCGCCTATTTCTATCACGGTTACTAAACCTGTCACAATTTGATTGTTCTCAAGACCTCTTTTGCTTTACACCCGAAATTTAAAATATGATGAATCTAATTCAAATAACTGCAAAAGTTTAGTTTTGGCACTTTTGTACATCTTGAAGATGTAAAGTTCTGGTGTCCTAAATATGGACTGGTATGGTTTCACTCGCACCATTTACATCCCCTATGTGGTAATTCCGCTGTAACCCAAAACGCTTCTCACATGCTGCTGATTTTGACGGGTCTTCGGATACTTAAATACGTTTATTATGCATGTGATGCTTCCAAATGCTAGCAATGCACTTATAGACTGCCACTGTCCTCTAACAAAAATACTTTATAAACTGTTCTGCAGGGTATCTAGTATTTTCAATTCCTTTAATGCAGCCGATCATATTATGATCCTCATTTGCAGATTTACTACCCTGCAATTGTTAGTTAATGGGTTACTATTCAATTGCGGTTCAGCTAAGAGCCTGGAATGCTTATACGAAAATTTGTAGCACAGACAAAATGAATGATGGTGTCAAATGCCTTTGCATTGACTGCAGAAAGCTCGTCAAAGTTTGCGTTCTTGATTCGCTTAAAAATGCTACACACTAATGAATTATTAAATATGTTGATTATACTTGTCTGCAGCTAGTGGCGTATGTTTTGGGCTTTAAGGACTGAAAAAACTGGTAATTTTGTCTTCAGATTTTTAATGAATTTCATGCTCTTCTAATGTAGCCCCTATTTTTCGTATGGGTTATTTACAAAAGTCATGTGTTCCAGCTGGCTCAAAATGGGTTCTAATGTCATCATGTTTGAGACTCCAAAAAGGATAGACCCTTCAATAGACATCGGAAGACGGATATGACGATCAACCTAAAAGTTCTGTTTTTAGCTATAAAATCAATTTCTAGATTATTTAGACTTAATATTATTTATAATAACGGATCCTGATTAAATTATTGGCCTATTGAAACTCGACAAACATGTTTCGTCACCTTTACAAATTATTGGTACTAATACTTGTTAGTTCTCGCCTGTGGCAGCATCGCATTATATCTGAATCACCTAATAAACGTATGTTGAGCTTTCAACTGGCCCCAGTGGTGTTGCGAGTTTCATTTGCAACTATAACGGTCTATCGATTGGGAGCTTACTTTAACCACTCTGGGCATTAGTGCTGATGCACATGTCTTCATTATTGATACTGTTGCCAGCAATCGTATAATCGGCGCGATTTCGACTTAATGCAGAGCAAACGTTAAAGAGTCTGCCATTTCATCAATAGTGGTTCTTTCGGAAGGGCTAATGACTTTGTAATCGCCAATTCTCTGCTAGCCTTCCTTTTGTCAACCCCACCACAGCCCGTCCTACTTAGTCGCAGATATTAACAATACAACTATTTGCTCAACTACATTCAGCTGGGCCAAACCTCGGTCAGGTGATTCTGATTTGTCTCTTCAGTGTGATCAACACCACTACGATTAGTGTAAAACGTTAGTTTGGGTAACGAGTAGTTAAAATCGAAAAGCACGTTCTTCACGATCAATGAGAAATAACTTCAGTTTTCCTTTTTTCAAATTGGTTCCTTGCTCTAAAGTGCATCCCAAGCTCCCACAGTCTATCTGTTTCACCTCGAAGAAAACAATTTAACCAATTAGTTCGTTCTGGCCAAGGAAAATCAAAAAAACAGTTCAACAAAGTCCTCCTTAGCTGAACCTATCAAATTGTGTGCACCCAGTATTCGCATCCTGCTCCGTTTGTTTAAAACCAGATGAACTTACGCGTCAGCCAGTAACCTTCATTAACAAACTGCAGAAGTGATATCAACCAGCTTCTAGGATTAGTACTATTGGTTCTTTTCCATGCGTTTTTGTACCATGTGTACAACTGGGATGACGCAGCGTCCAAATGTAATCGTGTTATACTGACATGCAACGTAACACGCCGCCCAACTCATAACATTACCCGTCATTTGTCCTAATGTAGACTTGTCAAATCTCAAACTCCATGAGAGTAGTTTCTTGATCTAATGTCCCCTCCAATCAACCAGACCTTTCCATCCTTATAGTCGACATTGTATAATCGCCGTTTCCGGCTCTCGCACTGGTCTTTACCATCTACAGACCTGGGAACACGTTTAGCTAAAAGAGGAGGTGGCTAGACATTTTAAATACGTTATGTGCACTTTGTTTATTTACCCCGTTCCTGTTGGGAGCAATTATGGATGGTGGGGGTTTGTTTTATAGTAGTGCACACTGCTGCGGAATAACAATACTTCTGCAAAGCATTTGCAATAGCATCAGATGCACACATTATCCGCAAAGTGTTATTTTTTGTCGGTCACAATTTTTCTCAACTTTTTACCCTACAAATTTGAAGTTTCGGACACCGAGGTCACCCTCCTGACAACTGTTTACTAACTGCTTGTCGGATTGTTCGAGCGCCTTGGCATTGATTCAGTGTTCTCAGTAGCAGGACCAAACAAGAAAGGTTAAACGAATTTGTGAAGAGGAAAGTGCTTTTTAAGCGTTCTTGCATGGCACAAACGTACATGCCGTTTGGTTTTGCCAACGTTTCTAGTCACTTACTTTTGCATCAGTGGAGCACAAAATTAGCCATTAAACTGGGAGCCAACCGATGTTTTGGTGGTCCATTGAGCTGTTGCGATAAGTCATGCAGAAAAACCCAAAATGGTCACGTAGTAGCACGAGTATACTCTGTGACGCCATTTTCTAATAGATCGGGAGAGCATATCTTGTTGCTCCTACACTGTCTCCCAACTCATGGGTTTTTTTCCAATACCGCAAATGCCACCATTATCACAGCGTCTTCAAAACTACACCGCGTGCTACCGAAATGCTCACTTTCCCGTTAACGCCATGTGTATTTGTATATTAAAGGAAGTCGGCACCTATCAGGACACCTTCAGCCAAAACTCAGCGCATCAGGAAGGTCTTGGCATATGCCATCCAGCAATCTGGATGTCACCCTCTCACAAAAAACAGTAAATATCACTTGCCATCTGAATAGTTCTTCGTGCCTTTCCGAACCCCTTTACTGAATGTGGCAGTTGATGCGACCGCGCATAACGAGACTCGTTTACAAACTTTGAAGCTTACGGTAATGTTGGACGAATATGGAGAAAGGCCAAAAGCCACCGACTGCATTGGTGACCGCAATGCACCCTGATGGGGTGAAGCGATAATTAGCGGGAAACGAACCTCCCACGTCTTATTTTGTGTGAAGCTTACGAGTAAGAAATTTGAGATGACCAAATGCCGAGATCTACTACGCAACTACCGACACACACCCTATCTTTACATATCAAAGCTTGGCGCTTTAACCACAATCATCGTCGTTTTAAGATAAGCAAAAACACCCAAGCACCTAAATTAGTCCCCAGCATACCCACTGACAAAGGCCTATCAAAACACCGACACTTGACCAATCAAGTCAGAGGAAGGTGTTAAGCAAGTTTGTGTGAAGCGAAGAAACTGCGTCCCGTGGGAAGCAGTATCCCGAATTTGGTCAGAAGTAACCCGCCAAATTGTGTGCCTCGAGCAAGAAATAACAGGGTTGACTACGAAACATACATGATACGAATATATTTTTTTCGAGTGTACTCAATGGTTGCGTGATGGGGGGAAGGAAGAGGGTAAGATTAACAGAGTAGGAGCAGTAGCAGTAAGTTCACAGGACAAGTGAGAGTTGTGTTCGATAAAGCGCATAAAAAGTGGATAACGAACAAACGGGGAATAGAGATTGCCGTTGTTTAAATAAGGGAGGCAGAGAAGAGCAGCAGCAGCAACAAGGGCGGTGGTGCTACTTCGAAGGCGGAGAAGCTGAGGCAGGAGGTAACTGGGTCGCTGGCAGCGCACCGCTTTCCCCTTCGCCGCTGGCCCCAGCTGCAACGCCGCCGCCGCCACCATTGGAGCGTCGGAGACCAAGGATCTACCCGGAAACGGTAACAGTTAGACGAAGCGAAACAGTACCCAGAGATGCCTCAAATCACATTAGTGACGACTTAGACAGCGAACCGTGGAAGTCGTGAGGCAAGCGGGCGGACTGAATAGGCATCCTGGCATTACCACTGGCACAAGTACCTGTGTGGGCAGTGTTGACTACAATTGGTCGATTAGATCACATCGACGTCTGTAATGGCATGCTGCATGAAGTGGACCGATGCTCAAGAAATGCAACCCCAAAGCCACTAATCCACCTCTTGCACACGCCTGTCGCATCTGCGATCAAAACAACAAGGAGATAAAGGTATACGACTGACTTGTTCAGCATGCGCCTGCCCCATCGCGTACCCCGCCTCGTACCAGGCACGTAGGAGAGCCGCCGTATCGATTTCTCCATTGGCGGTTGTTAAGGGCAAAGAGGAGACGAGGTTGTTGGTGGTGGACTGAAGTTGAGAAGACGACGACGATGACGATGGAGCAATGGGTTGTGACGAGGGCGTGGTTGTCGTCGCTGCCGTCGCTTCAGACGCCGACGGCGGGAGAAGGAAATGATGGTGGCTACAGCTACGAAAGTCGAAACAACGAGAGCTGGGATTAGCGTGATACAAAAAGATGATATTTGAACGGTTTGCTTAAGTGAGCCACAGTAAGAGAATTAGTCAGTTGATGAAAAAGTGGAAAATAGGCAAGTAATTAGGTAAGCAAACGCCTTTTGCTTCTTGTTACGTGAGAAAATCAGTCTGCTGTGATTTACTGTGAAATGTTAGATTTCTGGAAATAGAAGAAATTGTGTCGCGTGGTTCCCTTAAGACCTAGTAATCGATTATCGATGAATTTCCACTACATGCCAGAGCGGATGCACAAGGCAAGTCATTCCGAAGGAGTCCAAAAGGGTAAGTGGGATTTGGCATCAACGGGGCATTACCTCTCGTGCCTACTTAATGAAGTTGAACCCAAGCGAGATTACTGACACCTCGTTCTGGGATCACGTCTGAGAAAAGGGCTTAGCAGTGACAGTGCACAAGCGATACCATCAACTATTTGAATCGAAGTCAAACTAAGCCGCGTAGTGACAATAGATACGCATCGGTAACTCAAAATTTGATTGATTTTCTTCACTAAGAACCCCCACTTGTGGTTTACCGTTGGTACTAGCTGCAATTCCTTGCTCAGACAGGCGTATGGTAGACAGATACACACACACAACACAGTGGTATGTGAATAGCAGCTGACGGTTATGCAAGGTGACCTGAGAAACGGCATGCTTTAAGCAAGATACTTAAGAAAGAACGTTGCTATAAAGTGAGCGTCATTAGAAAAGGTCCTAGTTACCTAATGCCTTTTTAATATAATCTCGGTAAAGCTATATTCCGAATAGAATACAACATATACTACTGATGGCTATGAGTTTTCCATTACATGGGAACCGAGGGCTTTGTAGTCAGACGTTTTACGTGAATGTGGATTGCAGGTGTGGATAGCGACACAGCAGATAACTCCGCAATAGGCGTTGAGTTTGTTTTCAGAACAAACGTACCTGCAGCACTGTCCCCCTGAGAACGGCGGAAGAAATTCAGGAGGCACGTCCACGCTAGGAAGAAGCCAGGAGTACACCGGAGCGATGTCGGCTGGCTCCGTGGAGGTGTTGGGGACGGCTGTAGATTCAGGGGCGACCGCAGTGGCAGTCTGAGCCAGGAGCTATTCAAATGATACGACAATTAATAAGCGCGCCTTGACATGGAAGTATATAATAGGAGAATCGAGGCTAGGGAACACCAACGCGTGAGTGGGTGCTTGCAGCACTACTTGCTTGGCGAGGAGTGTGGACCGGGTTGAATTAGAAAATAAAGTTGACTACAAAGTGGGAGCAGACTCGATTGACACGTGACCGTGACGCAATTGTCAAAAAACATGGACGCTTGTCCATGCGATTTCTTGAAACTACAGAGAGGGTCCAAGATTGCTCCTGAACCATTTGACGAAACTTGAGCAAAACTTGCTCACAGTACCGCGAGACAACGCCAACTTCGAATCACATCAAACTGAGATGAGTTTCTGCCAAGAATGGTCACACTCGTCTTCGAAACTGTGCTCGTTACACGAAAACATACTAATTCAAAAACGGCTCGCAAATAAAAGAAGTACGTGGACCAATCAAGTGTCTGCAAATCAGAACAGGGAAGCCAAGGTTGGTCTTGACTTAGCAACTGGTGTTTTCGCATCAAATGCGCAAATTTATGAAAAACGTTAACACAATTAACAATCGAATGACATTGGTCTGTAAATACTGAAGCACAAACTCACCGAAGCTGGATCCTCGGAAGGAGATTGACAAGGCGACGTGGACCAGTGGTTCAGGTCGACCCCGAGAGGACAACGAGAGCATTGGGGAACACCGCCAGCAACCGAGGGCGATGAAGGCACCCCCGCTTTGGCCTTCTGCTTGTTTTTATTGTGTCTTCGTTTCTTCCGATTGGACGAGGACGAGGGATTGGGAGCGTTGACGGCAGATTCGGCGGGAACGGGAGGAAGACCCGCTTGACCAGCGCGGAAGGCCTCCACTTGAGCCTGGGGAACGTGTCGGCAAAAAAGTGTGGATAAATAAGGCGGAGAAACCGGCGGTTTGCACAAACAAGAGCTGTGGAACTACCCAGTGAAATGAACAGGCTACTGAAAGAGACAAATTGGCAGAACGGTGGCGCATGACTCACCTTGACTTGCATCTCCACCTGTTTGTAGTGGGCAAGGAGCTCGCTATCGTCCCAGATTTCGTCAAAGTCCTCGGGATTCGTGCCTGAGGTGCCGTCGGCGGGGGGCCAGACACGGGAGCCCACGTTGGTGGGGGGGAGGGAGTCGTTGGTCTCGCACATCGTCTGAAACATTTGAATGGCACGAAATCGAGGGAGTAATTGGAGAATAGACAGGACACACGCATGCAATCAAACAAATCCAAAAGCACGCGATTCTCGAACATGTCTAAATGATATCCCCTACACTTCACGGACGTTAGTTGTGGGGTTAGGGTAAGGCCAGACTGACAGTTTTATGGGTTATTGCCATTGTCAGGGGCAGGAATATAACCATCCAATGGCAGGCCTACGAATGAAATGAAAGACTGCTGTGGCTTGGGAGAAGTCTGCATACTCTTAACCGAAACGACACACAAACTTGTCGAAAAACAAGGTCATTTACCGAAATCCGCCAAGTTTACGAATGGAACCAGGCCCATTACCGCCTGATTCAAAGAAGGCATCAACGTTAACAGTGTCGGCTGGGCAAAAATGGTACAACCACAATGTGTTGTGATGATTCAATGCGTTTACGCAGTCCTTTTGTGTGCCGTAATGTCCCGTTTCTGGTTTATGGAGTTCTGTTCGCGTTAGCGACAGATCCGCTTTACACAGTCGGGCGCGTTTGAAGCATGCGTTACAGTCACCAAAGCCAGTGTACTCATTCCCACTTGGCATTTTGTTCAGGACAAAATTTAAATCACCCAGGAGTGATGGTTCTCAGCACAAAAAAAATTGGCGATTTAACTACACGAGCTCATCTGGTTCATCAATCACAAATAAAACTACCGAAGGTAGTTGTTGACAAACATGCCAAATTCCAAATGATGGACTGGAGCATTCAAGCAAACCGACAAATACAAATTCGCAAAAGAAACCTGGGTAGTTAGTAATGTCGATGTAATTCAGTAATAGGTGTACAGAGACGTGTGTGTAAGCGCACAGGAACGTGATAAAATAACAGGCAGAGGGACGAGATATGTAACACTAAATGCTGCCTCTGAGGTCTTGAGAATAAACTCTGGGGATCCGTGGAAAGAGGGGGGCAGGGAATGGACGAATCCAGGGCCGCGAGGGGCAGTTGTGCTTGGCGGAAAACAAACTGGCCAATGGGAACCGGGGAAGAACAAGGGAGGAACTCCAAACCTAAGCCTTGTGTTGGAAAAACCGGCCACCGTGCCGACTAGTCATCATCCACTCCACCGCATCCTGCTGCCGCCACTGTGGTTTGGCGAGTCACAGGGGAAGCCGATAAAGGTGAGTCGAATAGTGCACGCGGAGGTGGGGGCTTGGTGGGTGTGGTGGAGACCACTTCGGCGACCGACGTGAGTCCTCCAGTCGCCAGCAGGGATTTCTTCGCGTAGCGCTTTCGCAAGGAGGCGAGGGGGTAAGGAGATCGGATGATGCGTCGTTTGCGAAGACTGAGGCGACCGAATGGGGTCAGGTCGGGCTGGGGAGTAGCTGCTGGTGCAGTGTCCGTTTTCCCATCGGAAACTGATTTAAGAAAAAAAGAGTTATGGGGATCCAAGATGCATGGATTTGACTGATTCAAACGGATTTTGGCAGTGCAAGTCAATAGCGGGAACAATTAGAATACATTCGCTTACTAATACCATGAGTCCACCTAAGGCTATTACGGATTAAGACAGGAGCTCCGCGTTAACACAAACACGGATCAGGTCAGATAGGTAGGATTAAGTTAAAACATGAAGCCAAAGGCAGTCTCAAATAAGAGCATTGTATAAGCTGCTAGGAGTAGACTGAATGCTTCTGCTAAACGTCGAATAAAGACCGACAACACATCAAAGGTAACCAAACGAAAAATATAGTATTTTGGTTACTAAACAAGGATGGAAAAAATAAAGCAACCAACACACATTTAGGAGCCACAAAAACGGCCAAAGGTGTGGCAAACAGGTTACTTACTCGCAATACTTTCTGTAGGCCATCTTTTTCTAAATTTAGGGCCTTTTCTGTGAATTCGCACGAGAGCTGTCAGAAGAAGGCGGAAAGTAATAACGACCTCCAAAAAACCCACCAGTTGTTACCACTTACCGGTGACAAGAGAAGTCGGCTGCTCAACCACAGCGTTGTCGGGCGCCGGAGGGAAGACCGATTTCCCCAGAAGCATGTCAGCGTCGTTGTCGAGATCAAACACTGTCGGATTGTCGGAAGGTGCTGAGGCGATTGGAGTGAAGATTACGGGAGGGGATGGAAGTAAAAAGGGAACCTTGTTGAACGGATCCGGGATGTCATCGAGCTGTGGTAAGCGAAGGTTACATCATTGAACAAACTCACCAAAAAGGTGTCGACACGTGTTGATGCGCACACCTAGGCAACTTCACGGCCACAGCACGCTTTAGCCACGTAAGACTAAGATATAGATGTGATCAGAACTCACCACAATCACATCGTCGATCGTAGAAATGGGAGACGGATTACAAGTGTTGGCTTGTTTGATTGTGGAAGTTAAGTTTGATAGACCCGGCTACAGAACGCAAAAAAAGAAACTGGTTAAACTACAACTGGAATAGGTACTACTACTACTAGATTCAGAATCAAGGAGGGCTACAAAACTCGATAATATGACCGAAATGAGTCGGTAGGAAAAACTCGGCAGAACTCAAGCCAGTAACTTTTGACTTATGGATCTTGACTTAACCACTACAACCAGTGCACCTAGTAATACGAATTCAATCAAATGGGATGGCTGTTGGGCTCCGCTCACCCACCGAGACCCTAAACCAACGATTACCTCGTCTTCCATCGTAGGAACTGTGGGCGGGACATCGGAAATCAACTTGGGTGGGGTGAGCATGCATTCCGCAGACACAGAAAGTGGAGATAAGAGTCGATCGTCTTCCACGATGGACACCGCGGGGAACGCATCTTGACGACAAGGAGAGGGAGGCGGAGGAGGGGTTGCGTCTGTGGTAGAGGGTAGTGGAGGTGACGGCGGCGGTGCCGGTGTTGTGGCATAATTTTTCAAACACCAGAGACACTCGCCGTGCTCTGAACTAAGGAGTTGAGTTGCCTCGTCGGTTTGACATTCGGAAGCCAACTTAAAAAAGAACACGTCGGTAAGCTGAAGTGTCTCATCAATCTAGAAGGAAATTTTATCAAAATAATGTGCCGATTCCATGTCGTTTATGGAAAGTAATTAGGCTGCAAGAGTTTAGTTCGTCAGTGGTTGGTCGATGTTCCCGAGAAAAAGGAGAGCGAATTAAAAGGTCAATCACCCACAATAGTTTCAGGCCTAAAACCAGATTTGTGTTTCGAAATTCACTGCGCATTTGCAAAATTTACGTGCGCGAGGATAGCAAAACCGACTATTGCAAGAATTCAAAGCAGCCTTACCGCTGTAAGTCGACTGAAAAAGTGCGTTTGATAATTCGAACCACAACCCCGCATCGATGTAGAGAGAAGTGTAAACGAGAACGATCACAGAAAAAGGCCAAATTGGCATCACCCAGTCCGCGAAGGTGCCTGCCGTGGGAATTTAAGTGTGGAGCGGTGAGGGAGACTTTGAGCAGATGCACCGCGCTGTCTGTTTATCGACAGTGATGAAACACAGGGGGACACAACAGTTGTTTACAAAATGGCGAATGTGGACGCCAGCGGCGGTAAAACAATGAGTGTCGCAAGTGACTTACCCGCTGGAGAACGTGACTGGCATGTGCACGGACCCGTTCTTTGGAGAATTCCACTCTACCGCTTGGGTTGCAGCATAGCACAGGGTCGCAGCTGCAGGGGAAACCGGGACGGTCAACCTACGAAAGGAGAGTAGTTGAGATGGCGTTCAGGTGTTCGGGGTGACATAACAGCAGTACCAGGAAGTCACTTAGATATGGGCTAGCTAGTTATGATCCGGCAGCTTCGAAGCATTTCGAATGCTTTGGAAGTCAAGCAAATACCACAAAATCCACCCTAAGTTAAACGGAAGTCGTAAAACGCCCTAGCTACTTGAAATTCAAAGGCACCACATGGCGTTTGTCGAAGACAAACAGATCCTATGATTGCATCATTATAAATCAAAATAAACAACTGCTACCTCATACGAGGCATATTTTGTACAAGCAACAAACGTGACAAATAACAGTTGATAATAAAGGGTAATACATGCATTTTGAAATAAACTGTATTAAAATCGCATTCACTAGTAAATCTCATGATACCTTTTGCTACAGAAGTTTATATCAAAGGCTCTAGCCACTGATTTCATCGCGATTATTTTAACCATGATCATCACCATGACAGTAAACCTTACTTTTGAAACTTAAGCACCCAATTTGAAACGTCATTTTCAGTCCACTAGAACCGGCTATGCAAAACAACGGAATGGTTTAACTAAACACAGCCTCTATGAAGATTAGACTCGACATTCTTTTCGCACCTAGAAGACACAGAAGCCTACGTGAATTTACAGCCATGCCACGATTAGTTATCAGGAGAAATCTAGGTTAATGTACACGAGAAAGAGGAGAAACTGGCATGTGCTTAAAATGAGTCAATTTTGAGATATTACCTGGGCAGAACAAAATGAGTAATGCTACATTTGGGTAACTTAGGGAGATCATTTGCCCGAAATACCAGCAGGCAAATGTAGAATCGTGAAACCATCAAAACAATGCATGAATAAAATTACGTCGCCTGACAGCACCTACAAATCCGCAGTATGGCGGCTTTTAACAGCAGAAGCTAACAAAACATCCGGCGACAACAGCGCAACGCCAAAAGCACCAGAAAACCGTAGTTGCAACAAATCAATCGCAATGCAGTCGTGTAAACACAAAATGTAACAGGCAGAGCAACATCGACGATTAAAGTGTTGTAAAGATACGATAAACAACTACTGGTGTAACGATCAATGTGTTCGAATCTAGGAGAGCAGACTAACATTACACGGTTTGCTTTTGCACAGATACAGATGGTCGAACTTTGCATAAAACTGGTTGCAATAATCATGAAACGACGATAAAAGATTGATGGATTAGACCTCATACTTAGATCACTTCGATGTCAAAAGTAAGGTGTACATTTTGATAGCAGGGAGCAACAAGTCAAATGCAGCACATTTACTTGACAGGGGACTCCGTCGAAGGCACAAGAACAGGTGTCGGGATCACATGGTGAGGTGATGCAGCCGCAACCAACCAGGGCACGGGAGCTTCGAAGACTCGCGCATGCCCACCTTTCCGACTCATCGATGTTCGCAACACCTTAAACGCGCAGAAATCGGCAAAGGCATTAACGGCGGGAAATTCAAATTACAAGGAATGTGACAAAATGAAAAGGCTCAAAAAATTCTTTTAAGAGAATTGCAAACAAACCACGTAATTATAGGGACATTACATGTGAATGACTAGTCACTGTACAGCTTATCTACACCAGCGACAAATGGGCTGTTAAATAACAAAAATACGACTACAGGTTAGGATAAAGTGCTGTATATTAAACAAGTAATATCTTACAATTATGAAGTTTGAGAATAGTCCAACAAAATAGCTCCATTGGCCTAAGGATCACTTGATTTGAGAATTCTCTTACCTAATTTGCTCATAAGATGTCTGGGAAATACATAATTTATTGGTAATATGCAAACCGATAAAAAGATTTAAAAGTACAAGCACCGAAAGTGAAATTGGGGAAAAAAGGACTGTTACGAAAAAAGGGATGCCGAAAAAAATGCACACCGGAAGAAATTGATCGAACATATTGTCCACAATAACACATACCCGATCGCTTAAGGAGACGAGATCGAACAGTTGGATGTAATGGGAGTAGCTTCCTTGAGATTTTAGTGGATTTAGTTGAGAAATTAGATGGGACAGTAGAAGACTCCAAGGAGGTTTCGGAATCAGTATCAATATGACCAACGTATTCAGAAAAGGCTGTAAATCCGGTAGTAGTAGCACTAAGTGATTCTTTTGGTGGTGAAAGACGAGGTGGTGGTGCTGACGTAAGGTCAGATTTGAATGCATCATCAGGATAACAGGTATCGAAGATGGGGCTTTCGTAGGATTGTGGTGACAGCTGTGGAGGTGAACACAACACTGGAACTCTCACCGCATTCCCGGAGTTACCGCCATTACTGTTTTGAACATAAGATGCTATGCCTCGCTGACGCCCTTTTAAAGACGATTGCAAGGAACTGTTCCCTGGAGCTAACTTAAGCTTCCTTTCCATCCGACGTATTCGACGATACTGCAAAGCACCATAGGTCTCAGAATACAAGTGGGTTTGTGCCATTCCAAGAGAACAACCCCCTCTTTCAGGCACAGAAGAAGACCCCTGCTGTCGAGTAAAATAGAATACGTGCGCTCTTGAAAACCGAACATGCTTCTGGCACAATGGGGTGGAAGGTGGGGATATACGTCCATAAGAATCTAAAGCATCAGAATTACTGTTTGTTTGGCGTGAACTGAGATGGCATCGAACGTCACCGCAACAAGACGCCGAACCCTCCATGATCACCGGGAAAACCGGCGGCTTGTCACTAACAAGGCGGAAAAACTTGACTTTGGAAAATTACTGAAATTAGGTTCCATATAACATATGCTTTTTTTAAACTGTATCGTCATTTTTATTTTAATTAATTAAAAAGTTAAAAAAACGGTCATTTTGAGTGTGCAACATGTGATAAAGATTAATTTTATTGGCGTATTTGCAACATCGGATTGCATGAATTAGAAAACTAGATTGCTCAAAATCTGAAAAAGTTTGTACCTATGTTTTAATGTAGTATTTAGTAGATGAACTAGTTTATCCTAGTGACCTGACTGAAGTTTGCATTTGTTGACACGAATTCCGCACAAAGCTGCCATTGTACACGTTTCCTTCTCCAAAATTTGTCTCTGTGTACATAATTTCAGTTTTCGTGCGTAAACCAAAAAATGCTATTGCCTAACATTACCACATCAGCAGAAACTCCTAATGCACCTAAGCTGCTCCAAAGCCCAGTGATGTATTCTTCTCAATGTTAACAAGACAAGATAACGGTCAAAGTTTTTAGCGATTGGCTAACTCTGTACTCTTTCATTGTGGACAGTTTGCATTTCGTGGTAGCTGTTTTTACACAACCAGTAATGAGTTATGGATGCCTTGGATACTGTTTCATGACATTTTTGCTTTATCTGTGAACTACGTTGCCACAGTTATAATATTTAAGACTCAGGTTATCTGGTGAACTTTAATCGGGATGTAAAAATATGAGAGTACTACGGAAATTTAGTTCAGTCTTAGACACTCAGTTTATGTCTCCAGTAAATTTCGTTCTCTTTAAGACAACAGGACGGATAGACATAAAATGTTTCAATTTTTTGCTATTTTCAAAGTCACAGGTCGAACGTTAATAGGATCATCGTTACCAGCCTTGAAATCGGGCTTGCACATGAACCTTGAAGTAGTTTTCTGTAATCATTGGGTTTTCCTCAGGGGCTTACCAACAAAGCCAATTCGTCATGATAGGGTGCACAAATAATCATTTTGAGAAGTCTTTTCCAGCGGCAAATCATGAAGCAGATCAAGGTCAATCCATTTTCCTTAAAATCATTATTCCTTGAGATTTCTTGTTAAATTTCTTATAAAGTAGCTAAAATCCAAAAAGGCCTGCATCAAAAAGAGGAACTGCGAAATCCATGATTTATAGAAACATCGCACTAAATCTTTTCATTTTTAGTATCTTAGTTTGAGGCATTTGTTTATGCAACCCTTTAAATATTAACATTTAACAATTATTACTTATGACACGGTGGACGGTCAAATTTTGCTGAGTTTCGGCACTTGATTTTACTTTATATCATCTCTGAGGATGGTTAATTAAAGATAGCTAGGGCAGTATTAGGTAATATTTTCCAGTAAATAGAGCCTAAGTTTCGATCAGCAGTTAAACATCCATTTCAAATGGTCAGTTTTGGCGACAAATTCAGATCCATTTTTGAGACCTAACAGAGCTTTAAATAAGTCTTTATTTTACATTACACTTACTTTTTATTTGACTTTACGTATTTTGTTAATGGTGGGGTAAGTTATTTGTAAAGAATCAATGCAGTTACTCCGGAATTGTGACAAAAACAAAAGTTATTGGCGCAAGTGAATCTAAAGGTGATACTATATAGATGTGCAAGATAATGGTTTTTTGATGGCAGTAAAACATTTCTCGAATGTCTGTGAGACCATTTGTATCGAAACATCGTACAAGCAAATCGTAGAACAGTGAATGGTCTGGTGATTAGGAATCTAAACACTTGGAAATATATTTTTGTTCTTTTTGTCGCTGTGGTATCCAATTTGGCAGGCTGATGTTTTGTTCTATCTAACTATTTTAAGTCTGAGAATTATTTATTTACAACTACGCAGCAGAGTTCACATGCAGAATTGGTGGGCATTGAGACAAATTCCGAAATTTGATTTGTCTAAATGTGCATGCCTGACGGATATTATTAAATGCTTTAGTAAAACATAATTTAGAATAAAAAATTGTAGAAGAGAGGGAGTTAAATTAAAATTAATTTTACACGCATGTACCTATAAAAACTATAATAAACTAGGGAATTGTCTTTAGCTCCTGACCGTATTTTGACGTTTAATTGCATTTTGCACAAAGATAATACGGGTTGTATAGCCCTGCGAGGAACTGATTCATTATCTTGCTTACTTTGGTTTGTTTAATTGATAAATTTTTCATCTACTCATTTAAAAATAACTCTAAGAAAAAGAGGAATGACTCATGTATGTTGAGTGATTCGTTTGTTTGCCGATGTCTTGTGAGATTGCAGGCTGACAAAAAAATGAATGCTGGCAAATAAAGCCATTGCAAAACGGTGGCTTCAATTGAACTAATTATTTTTGGTATTGTGATAACGTGTTTTTATTAAAATCACAAATGCAACGTGCTGACAGCTATGCAGTATCATCTGCTTGCTTAAAATATAAATATTGGATGAATTTCTTCAAATATCTAAAAAAATATTTGCGTGGACTGATTTATAGATTAAAATTTAGATCTTTAACTAAATTCAGGTTATGGCTTTTTAAAGTGCTTAACACTGTCCACTTACCGTTTCGCAAACAAGTGTTTACGTCAAAACTCGTTTCCTCAGTGTTGGACATCATGGGATATTTGAATAATGATTACGAAAATCCCAACATTTTCTACCTTTTGGTGGTTTCATAAGTAGTGAGGTGAATAAAACAGCGTGCAGGCGAAAAAAATTTGCTTGTTGCTGGTTTTTTTACACGTAACCCAACTTTCTGTGATTTGCATATCTCTTTATTTGCATAATTGCGTAAATTAAAATCAGTCGGGAATCGATCTATCAGCATTAACTTTTCAAATCTATTCACATCCAATTTTACAATTCCATAGGTGCACTAGAATTTCGTAGAATGAATTTAACTGCTGATAATGTATAACATTTTACTGTGTAAATAAATTTGGGAGCCTTTTTTCACTCATTTAGGTTCTAAATAAAAATCTTCCAATCTTCAATGAATAGCCGAATTGCTAATATTTTATGAAGCTTTAATTTTTTCCAACATACACGTAATCAACTATGCAGATTACTAACTCCATTAGTTCTGATGAATTTTAAATTTTTATTAAAAAAATTTTTAACTGCACATTATTAGCAAAATCAAATAATATAAAATAAAGTATTTGTGCTTTTATTACTATATTCTTTGTAGTGAGCTTTTGAAGAGTTAAGTTACTGAATCATTTAATTAATCACAGTAAAGGCAGTGGAAACGATATCGAACCTTAGCTGAACCAAGTTTCTGGCCCAACATCAAAGTCTCCACCATAACTCGTTCAAATATTTACCATTAAAATGTTCCTAAACCTATTGTTTCTGCATTGATAACTTTACATTTGTTTTATTAAAAATGTTAAAACGATGTTTAAAGGATTATAATAGACTCGAAAGTGAAAAATAACGTAGATTTATTTTGACCTAGGAAATTGTTTATCTGTGTCAACAAAGATTACTAGGTTTCGATCATCAGACCTGTCGTCGCCCTTGGCATAATGTGCGTGCGCGTGTGAATGGCTTTCTTTGTCTTCTTGCTTGTCAGAAGTAAGCGTCGCTTGTGGGTATTCTTTCCTTCTTGGAGACAAATTTATGTGGCTGCAGATATTTTGTGTATGCAATGTTAGCGTGTCAACTATAAATATCTATTGGTCGATCGTGCGCCACAATTCGCGCCTTGTTGGTCCTCATTGGTTTTGGGCCATTAATATTGTTTGTGCTAATTTTTGAAGCGTAAATATTTATTTAATACTGGGTGAATTAATGTTTTTAACATTACGTCATGCTCTATATTGTTTGGATTTCTTTTTTAGACACTTAATTTACAAAATGGAATCTGTTTCTAACAACGAGTATGCAGCTACAAGTTCTCAAACTCAAATTGGAAGTACCAATTACATTAGAGGACGAGAATTGCTTACCCACTTTGCCAACCTCACTAACCAAGACCGTCGCAAGACCATCGTCCAGAATAGATCTTCGCCTGAGTCATCGTCCTCCCCAAATTCTGCCTCAATGTACTCTCAGTCCGGCTCAAACCCCATCGGAAGCAGTGGCGGTAGTAATAATAATAACAGTGAAGATCTGCGTGCATGTTCCGAGATCTATTCAGCTATTCTGAGCAGTCAGCAAAGCGGTAGCGGCATCGATGACCGTCACAGATTGCGACCCGTGTCCTTTAGTTCACCTACAAGACATCTTAGTGAACCTGCTACTGCAGCTGTCAGGCGATCTCCTAATGGTATGCTATATATTTGCCTAGGTTTATATTTTGTTGGTAGCTAATATGATATTGTATGCTTAAATGTATCATTTTCTGTTTGCTTAACTGGAATGTGGATTATCATACTTTCTAAGGATAATTCCTCTGACGTTGTCATGGTGCATTCTGGGCCATTCATAGCTTCCAAAGCCAAAAAATGAATGAGGCGCTAATTCTAATCTGTCCTGAATGATTGTTTGGTTTGTGAGAATTTCGTGTGGTCTCACGGTCTATCTCATCACTTTTCTTATTTTTATTTACAGCTTTCTGTAATCCAAGGCAGTATGTTTCTTCATTATCAACTTATCTTTCGTTTCGCTTCGACTGTTTATAAATTAATATGTATTTCACAGTGTTAGAAGCTCAAATGGAATCCTGCTCTTTACTGTCTACTGTTGATAACCAAATCCTCCCATATAAACACCTCCCCAGAGCTATTTCCTGCGTATCATGTGCTAGTAAGGGGTAAATTTTGCCAAAAGATTACTTCAGTTCTAGTCGATGTTATTTAGGAAGCGTCTCTTATTTAATGACATTTGGGAATGGGAAACAGGAGTAACTCACATATGTTATGAAACGTGAATTTTTTACATTTCGTGTTTTAGATTTTCCAGTTGAAATTTCATGCCTATTGCGTACCGCTACTCAAAAAATTATCCTGCTGTTTTGAACAATCGTTGCAAAATTCTCTGTGAGGTGCAGTGATCCTAAGCCTTTTCTTTCCCCTTCCTCCACTCAGTCTACTGTTTATCCCATCGTTTTCCTCCGGTAAAGTTGGTCTTCAATATTTCCGTTCAGAAATCTAATCAAAATAAGTCTACCTGACTGTGTTACTAGTATTATATATACGCATTATACCGAATTATTTACTGGTCGAGTACGTAAATTCCGTATATTAGTAGGTTTTTTTTTCATTTATTGAAGCTTCGTCTTTTCCCTTCCGTTTTTTTACCTTTGAACAGTATTGACATAATTTCCGTTTTTTACCTCCAATTTGGTATTCGAATCCTAACGCAGACAATTTGCTCTTCACACAATCTGTTAAATTGTAATTGTTTCAGTACCTTGACACGGACACATCCCAACGTGCCATTTCTCTTTTGCTTGCCCTATTCCCTTTAGTGTATTCTAATAACCTCAATACCCATCCCTTCAAATTGGTTTACAATTATAATTTCATCCTGCTTCATTAACGCAGTCCTCTTGCTTATTTTAGTAGGTTTTCCTGAAGCATTTGTTAATGTGTCTGTCGTGTTGCAAATATTCGTTAGTCACGAACTGACTAATGTGTAATAATTTGATGTAATCCTCATAACTGCACGCTCCTCAACTCAAGTACCACTGGACAGCTAGACCACTTTTGTTAAATACTTCTTTATTTTTCATCGGTTTATGAAGTTGAATCGCAAAGTTTGACACGCCAGTGGCTTCTGTCGTGTTTTACGATCGTTTTTCTCGCATTTAACGGTTAACGGTTGCATGTTACACTCGAGTGGGATGATCCTGGCACACGTCAATTTCTTTGGCATTGATGTTTTTTTTGTTATCAACAATGCGAGCTGCCTGGTTTAGGTGGAACCTCCAATACAAAATCATAAATGCCTAGGCATTCATCTCGTCTAAATAAGCAAGATCTTGAAGCTCTTTCGATCGCTTTTTTGACTCCTTTCCTGGGGCACTGGAGCAAACGGGTTTGGAACAAGTCCAACGATATTTTGTCGCCATGAACAGTCAAATACCGTGCCTAATTTAAGCGATCTTTTTGTGAATAGTGTCAGCAGGTAGTACTGCTGCAACTAGGGTCATCTCATAGACTGTAGTGAAGGGTCACTCCTGCTGAGCCATTGATTTACCTTCCGTGAAGGTGCTCAGGTGTAAGATGTGTTTAACTAGCGAGAAATGTGCTTAAAATTTACGTATTTTCCGAATATGCCCGTATCAAATTAGGCAGACTTAAAGTGAACTAACTTCCCAAAATCCAAATCTCCACATAACCTTCTCGATCATTTGCTTTCATGAAGGGGTTTCGTAACAAAAATTACCACTCTGTGTATTTTCACACGATCACTTCAACATTTACATTAGTGAGAAACTTAAAAAATCGCACCTCCACCACTGAAATACACCAAAGAGCTGGTCGGTCACCCTTCTGAAAGGTAAATCAATAGCTCCGTCAGGTAGACCCTTCACTATTTCCAAAAAACACGGATATGTTCATGTGCCTTGTCGAAGTATGCAACTTAACCGACACTGACATCTGATAATTCTTATTTCTATGGAGTGGAAGCTTTTCGATTGAATTCCGATCCAGGCTCCACTAGTATCGGTCTTCCAGACTTTTTCAGAATTATGTTTGACAGCGCCTGGTGACATTAACCAATCAGAAAGGTAGAGAGACTTTTCGTTAAGTTCACCATTGGTGGCGTCTATTGATTTTTTTTAATTAACGAGAATTGCTTTGTATTACGTTTGCGTGTTTTGGGGAGAGTGTATTTGAGGTTATTCCTACTTGCGAATAATAACTAGCCGTACTCTAGAACATCACCTTCGTGTTTAACTCAATTCCACTCAGAGACATTAATCACAGTCATATCGACTAGGTTTCGTTATGGCATAGGAGTGTCATCCACCTTGAAACATACCATTCACGCGTGCAGCCGTCGTGGCGAGCCAGTAATGCTTGATGGCCACCAGGTTTCGGCTTGGGTAAGAATGTTTTATCGACATCGTTCATGCGGAGGTAGTTAAAGGCATGGCTGTCGCGTTAACACGAGCGCTTGGTTGCCAATAGTCATCGATCACAGATATTGTGGATGTTTATCGTAACCTAATTTACTTTTTTCACAGTTGATTCGCTTACATTTTCACGGGGTTTGTCTCGTGGGTGTCCGATTAGCTTTTTTGTAGAAGGCTCCATTCCTGTGCTAGTCAGTTTCTGCGTGATCGTTAGGTGGCCTAGACGGCGGGGAATCTCGACTAACACGCCTTCTAACTAATCTTGGACGCCTTCTACACACTGTTTCATTTGTGTCGGCCTCATTAATGTCTAGCCGTGCTTAGCCCACATGACCGACACAGCATCCGACGGCCACTGTTGCATACGGAACGTCTTAAACGATGCATCACGGCTAAGACGGACCTTCTCAAACGCGACCCCTGAAGCGACAGCATTCTCCACAGTTAAGATTGCAACCAGCGTTCCACACAGATTACAATACATCAGACATTGGTATGTGCTATGTCTGTTTGGAAACGGAAATGAATGACCTTGAGTAATTTCCTGCCCAAAATCTGTCGAGTGGTACTTAACTTCGACGTCATCACCTACAGGACTTCTAACTCGAAAGGGATTGGCTCATGCAACGAAGAGAGTTGCAAGTCCCTGGGTTATATTTCCTTCATTTGACGCGTTGCGTTAGCAGTTTATCGCTGCGTATTTGTCCCTTTTTGTAAATTAGCCAATAATATTTCGACTGGGTGTATTCCCAAGCTTTACTGGCATTGACTGCTTTGGCCTCTTTTTTTTCAATAAACGTGTTTATTCAGTGTTCGGACACAAGCACCCCACGCACTTTTTTTGCATAATCGTTTCCGCCGGTTTGTTTATTTAGCACACGCAGGTCCTAGCAACGTGTGTGGGGCTACTTTTCTCCTGAATTCCAAACACCAAGTTAGCATTTCGAAACGTCCGCCTGCTAAATTACGCACACATAATATTCCCACATGGATTCTTCTTGCGACCTGTTTGGTCTGATCGTAGGAATAGTAACGCAACCTCTGTTGCTCTACACCATCGACTATCAGGTGACAAACAGCTGGATGGACAAGTGGGCGTTATTCCGTGAACGTCGATTGTGTTTCCGCCTGCCTCCCATCAGGCGTGCTCAATGCTCTGCGTAATGGTGCCTCTGTGGATGTTCGAAGGCAGGATAAGGAACAGCAATTTATGGCTACAGGTCTGCAAGTTGGAACTGGTTCGATAGCCTAACTTGCGGTTTCTCAGCAAATGAAATCTGCCCTCCCGCGCTTCCCATATCTTTGATCTGGTGTAATTACATGTGCTTAGGCATTTGCGTATGCGCCAGTTTGAGTCATCCACTCTAGGTTTTAACAGTAATAATTGATGTTCAAGCACTTACTTATCATTTTAGAGGATCCATCAGATCGAACTCCGCGTTCCTGCCGCACCTCCCCTTCTATCCCAACGAAGTCGTCCCTCCACCACCATCAGCAGCAGCAGCAGCAGCATTATCACCATCACTCTCAATTAGACCCCATGTCCTCCTCTTCGCCCAACTCCTCTCTCAATGGCCTCGACCACCACCAATCGACGTCCTCCGCCCTATCTCCCCCGGCATTGGTGCCGTCACCAGCTGTGTTTTCGTTAACTCAATCTGAACTGCAGGAGCTTATGCGTAAAACCAGCGCCACAATTCCGGCCGTGATTTCGGCTGAGGTGTGTGTGTGTGTATGTTGTGCCCACTTACTCGGTTCTGTTGCGCACCGATGCGTCACCAAGGGGATGAATCTACGTCACACTTAGCCTTACTCTATCACAATCTCCGCTCTGCTGTTTGCTATGTGCGTGCGACACAATTGGCTCTTTAAATGTAGCAAGTTCTCGCATGTGTTTACTCCGAAATACGGTAGGCCTTAAGTGGAATTTATGCCTGCAAGGGATGCTGGAATATCCAGTAATCTTTTCCGATGTGATTAGGCTCATCTCCACTGACAAATGGTTCCCTCTTGCTTGAAAAGTCCTTGTGAGTTAAGCTCAGGTCTGCTAACCAATCAAAAGGCGTCCGGGCAGGTGCAATCCCTTGAAAGCACCCCCACTACTTGCGTACTCGAAACGGGTGTATTTACGTCTGTCTGCTTCACAGGTCGGCACGATGCCTGTTTGCAGAACGTCTTGGAGTTTCACCGTGCCCCATCGATGCCATGTTCCACGTGTTTCCGGTCTCCTTTTCCACCCCTGACTCATTACACCCACTTTGTGTGTGTTCGCTGAAGTGTTGCACATTGTGTGCTGCTGTGTAACCTGTCGCATGCACAAAGCCTGGTAGCCTATTGAGGGTTTCTCACGTTGCTATGGCCTTTGCGTGAACTTGGTCTCAGTTGAGTGTCTTCCTCTCAAGTTGTGGCTACCTTTCCCAGTGTCACGTGACTCGCGACATTGTGGTTGAGTAGATTTTTCGTGTGGTGTTTTCGCCTACTGATGCCCTAGGCTAGATAAGGGCCTTTAATTCCCGTTCTCACGTAGACGGCATTGCAGTCTATTGCGTCATGCGATAACTCCCAGGGCAGTCGACTTGTGCAGCTAAACCGGCGAGCCATATTAATTTCAATGGCTAGGCTGGATAATTTACTACGTTTATTTTTTTTTAATGCGCATAAAAACTCCTTCGCTGCGCCATCTGTCTAGCCTTCCGCGTGCTCCGCCTCCCCCCGACAGTGTTGTAGCCGTGGGGTGCTCAACCCCCTCCCCTCGCCTTGGGTTAATCGAGGGTTTATTGCTGAGACCTCGAATGAAAGTCAGCGTGTGTACACACTTTTGACGTCGCTCCTCTCTCTCTCTCGTTCAAGTCATTACTGAAATCCTACCGCCTATAAACCCACTATGGGAACAGTTGAAAGCGCTATCAAGCGAATGCAAAGCTAGGGAGGTGCTACCAACCACCCCTCCCTTTGTGTGCTTCATGGGAATCCATGGTTCCCGATAGAATATTCCCACTGGATCTCGTTTTGACTCGCTCATGCGTCATTGTGTGCTGCCTTTGTTGGCTCCGGATCGTTCAAACCGAAAAAATCTTTTATCGTTCGTTCGATTTGTAAGAATCGAGGCCATAATGAATCAGCGTTGGATGTATGTGGTCGCTTCTGTAAGCGCCTCGATTTGCACATTTCAGCTTCACGCACAGGCAACTCTGACGGGCTTGCTGTCGTTTTCGGTCTGGGCTTACTCGGGTCATGCACAGATCGGTCGTCTGTCCGTTGCCTACTGGGTGGTCGCTTGTGTCTTACTGCATTCCCCTAACCTCACTTGTGCAACATGGTTGCATATCTAGCGCTGCCACTAACGCTTAAGGGCTTATCTCGTCCAAATTTCGTTTGTAAGGATTCCGATACTGTCGTAGTCTTTCCCTACTTGCAGCGGAATGCGTATTTTACATGTTGCCACCCACATAAATATGATTCCCGAGGGAGTTCAGAAGGACTATTCGGAACTCCGTCGTTGCCTATCTGCGTTAAGCTGCGTTAGGATAGTGAACGACGATGCGGTGTCCGTCGCAAGCAGTCTAAACTTCAAAAAAATTGCTAGACGGGCACCTTAATTCCGGTTTTTTTCGCACCAGCAATCTGGTCTTTGCGTGTTTCGCTCGGGTTTGGTATATTTGCGCTTAGTTAGGTTAATTTGTTTCTTGTTTAACAGGAAATAAAAAAGGCCAACAACTCGAGCCAGTTGTACCTCCTCGTGCCCAGCAACTATCCCGTCATAATGACCTGCTCGACAGTGGGCAGTGGCGGCGTGCACCAATCCGACGCCAGCGGAGACAGGGCCTCGGTGACAGCCACCACAACTACTACAACGGCGGCAATTTTAGGCGAATCGCTAGCCGCAGTAACCGATGGCAACCAGCGCGCACTATTGGAGCGATTTCAGCTGTCATCCGCCACCGCCTCGCCCCGCCCCCCTTCACCGCAGGCCTCCTCCGAGCAGGTCACTGTCTCCTCGTTGAGGGCGCCTCGGAAGAATAGCACCAACATTCCTCCCATGCTGCTGCAGTCTTTGAAGGACGTTGTTCCATCGCTCGCTCTCAGAGGTGAGTCTCCGTCTAAAGCGGACGAGAGCCGTTAGCACCACCTCCATTTCCTTCCATCTTGCCTTTTAGGCTTGGACATTCTCGATGGCAGCGGTAGCACGGCAGCCACCGGTTCTGCCGGTGGTGGCGGCGGTGGGAACACCCTCCCTCACCTGTCCTCCCTTGCTCTGGCCTACGGGTTTTCTCCGGGTGAGACGAATCCCTCATCTACCACCGCCCCAAGTGTAGTCAATTTAGACGACCACCTCACTTCTCGTTCCCCCGGCAAGAAAGGCTCCCTACACCCACCTCCCCCCTTGGAGCCAGCATCCCTGATCATCTCCCCATCTCACGGCGTGTCTCCGGACCTCGCGTCCCGCGGACCTCTTCTTCTCGAGGACTACCGCGGTGCCGAGATGAAGATCAAACCGCCACCACCTGCCGACACTGGAATTTGCTCTGACGGCCTATTGAGCGCCGACTCCAATGGCAGCCGCAAGTTTCTATTTTTTTTTTAATTCCACGCCTCTTTTGACAAGATTTTGTATTCACGTTTTATCAAACCCAGTAGCAGATTGCGTGGATTGTATTGGAATATCATAGATCTGTTCCAGATGTGGTATGGAACTGTTTTATCTGATGGAAAACGTCCAAACGCCCAGCCAGACCGGGAGTTGTGGCCGTGGTCGGGATTTAACATCAAGCACGTTGGAGTGCGGTTTGCTATATCAGATATGGCTCTGCAGTGTCCCTTTTGTTTGATGAATTCAGACGCTTCTTTACAAACCCTCAGTTCGTCAAATGTTGTGCGCTTGGAATTCTTCGATAAGTCAAAATTTCCTCCTGGTTATCCGCCACTCCCTTTTTCGTTGTTACCTTGACGGTTTCCTTAATACACGGTCAATGCACCTCGCGGTAATGATGAAATGGCGCGCTAGCATTTGATCGGAAACACATGGTCAGTTGGTTATAAACACGTCACATGTCACACCAATTACCTTTAAACTGAAATCGAGTCGGGACTGGATCATCGTTTGAAGCCGTGTCGCACCACGCAAACTTGCCTACCACTTCCCTGTGATCCGATGATGATGATGATGATGGTGATGATGAGGCCTTAGCGTTTGCACGCGCGCGTGCACACAGGCAGAAGTGATTTCGTCACTGCCACTCATCCACAGTGTGGAAGTGACGGCGGCGGCTGTGGCGGCTGCGGCTGCGGCTGCGACCTTGCAAACCGACAGTCCCGTCTCTTGGTAGGCGCGTGCGTGCGCGTGTGCGCACACCCGGGGCACACGCATCAACACACACCACCAAATAGGTGATTTGTCTGTTTGTGCACGCTTGCGCACACTCGCATGACACCTCCCTCGTTCTCCCCTACTACTGCTTATAATAATGTGCGATAAACGACCACCTCGCATTCTAGAAGTTGAGGGTATCTTGCTGCCGCGTGCCAACCCCGTTCGCCTATTTTGTTGTGTGGCAAGCATCTTCGGGGCTTTATGTTGACGGCTGTCTTTTGGTCGACACAACTTCCACACTCCCAGGGAGAACGATACACACCCCCTAGTTTCCCCACGCAATGTGGACTTAGCCCAAATTTCTGATTCCATATTACCCTTCAAATGAACCACACTCATCGTGTTTACACTTTTCCATTGGTCGGAGGGGCTGCACAGCATTCGTCCTTAAAGTGAACTATGTCCTGTTCTTCGTGTCTTTTCCTGCTCAAATTTCCTTCTCATGAGAGTTTCTAGGCGCCATTATCATTATTATTATAAATAAGCATTAGCCGTCTGGGGGTATTTACTTGCACCTTACCCTGTGTGGCAGTGTTGTTTCAATCGTTTTCGCCTTCAAAGTGCACTCATTTGGAAAGATGGTAACTGCCAGGGATTTTTCAACCATGCGGCCTCCTACGTGGGCTTCTGATAATCGACCCCCAACTCACGACCACAAAATCCGTGCGCAACAGATGGCTGTACCTGCAACCAATGTCTAGCTTTATGGTTTAATAACTTCTTGTCAACTGTTTGACGTGCTGCCTACTAGCGTTTATTCCAGTTAAAGGCCACTGCTCAGTCACCTGAAACCGATGAGCCGAACTCTCGTTCAGCCCTCTATTTGTACTTCCTGCTTGAATGGGCTGTGGTTTGGCGCCGGCGTCAGCTACGTCACGTGACTAGCAGCCTCTGAGGCCAACTATTGGGGCTCGGTTGAATTTCGCTTGTGCCATAATTCATTACTCTATGGTGGCGATTGTGATTGTTGCGTTTGCCGTGCCTACTTGCGCCTGAGCGAAGTGCTGTCCGGGCCGTCTCCTTGGCAGTTTGGCGACGATCCGAAGGTGTACTCGATCAAGTTACTAGGGATAGGGTTTCGTGGCGGACTCAATTCCCTAAGAGGTGATTATAAGCTAAGACCAATTTCCAATTCAAGAGACAAAACGTCCCTAAGGTACTTTTCTTCCACAGCAACTCTAGTAGTGAGGTTGATGGGAAATATCTGTTTAGGACGGTATGCCGGATGATTCGGACGCCTCAAATCTCATCAATAGTCAGCTTTCGGTAACATTTTGGTGCTCCACAAAAGGGGGATTTTGTCAAATCACCCAGAATGGTTCGCGCCACAAAGCTATGCACATGCCCTGATTACCTCCTATGACGTCATTAAAGCGATTTGATTAATTAGTAGTGCATGGACTTGCATAACATTTCGTAACATTACCAGCTCAGTGGATGCACATTGGCTTCCAAAGTAGGGACCTTTGCGTAGTCACCAGGAGGCTTTTGGGAGTCGGATAATAGGTGGATAGTCTATCTACTGGTATTACTATGTTGTTCCATAGTACGAAGCGGTTCAATCGGTAGCCCAAGTTCGAAGGAGAAGCCCAAATTGTCGTGCCGGTGTCGTGTAGGCTACCTCGAACCATTACTTTATTCTGTCCACATGGGTGCTTCATTTTGAGGTACAATCGTTTGTAAAACAGTTTCGAAGGGCTTACACGAACGGCGTGAGCATCTACCCAGTGCAATTGGTGGGCCTTTGGCCAATGGCATTAGTCGGCGTTTGCTGAGCTCAAACGTGGCGATGCGTCGTCGTACCTGTGGGACTTTGGCCACGCGTCCGTCAGCAGTCTCTTGGAACTCTTATTGCCGCTGTTTTCATTCATTTGTTCGCGATTGCGATTTATCTTGCCGTTCATGGGAGTACATTGGGTACTGTTTACGCTCTACGTTATATTAAGGAGCATGTGTTTCGAATAAACCGTGATTTCGGCGAATTAAAGATGGTGTTAAGATCAGGAATCGTGTCTAGATTTGCCGTTAAATATGGAAGGTATTGTCAGGCTGCTCTTTGGCTTCTTTGTGGCTCGGTTCATCCAATCAGTGGACGCCTTGAACACTTAAATGTAGAAGTCAGCCAATCACGCGCTTCCACCGAAACAGCTTAACCTCGTGTCTGTTGCATGACCTAGTTTGTGTCACCTAGTAGGCCTCATTAGACTCAGTTGAGTTGACTTGACGGCAGCTGTCACCCCTTTCTTGGAACCTGTACTGCTTTGAGGTGGTTGTAACCGTCCTTTCCTATCACAGGAGTTGTACAATTGCACGCATTTTTTTCCGTTTGCACGCATTTACAAGTGAGTCTCGCGTCGTAGCCTGGTGACGGTTGGCCGTTCAAGCTTCTCGCAAGTCAGCATGACTGGTTTTTCATTGGCACTTTTTTTCCTCGACTGTTATCCAGTTGCCGTCACCATCGATTGCTGTAAAACTCTACGTTTTTCCGGTAATCCTACTCTCCGCTCCCCTGTTTCTCGTCTCGCAATTGCCTTTACTTTCATCAAGACGCATCTAGCTCACCCGTCGTCTTTTATTTGTGGTCGGCCGTGTTTCGAGTTAGCTGAGGAGTCCCGAAATTATCGTCGGTGATTGACTGTCGCACACCAAACTGGGCAATGATGGCCTCTCTGTCATTTGAGCGATAGGCTTAGCTCACTGCACTGACCTGAGAAATAGGTTTCGGGAACGCCTGTCTTGGTAGTACCCGAATTAATGTGAATGCCTTTATGTGGGCACAAGAGGCTCCTCCTTTGTCCGGTTTTTGAACGTGTCTGTCTGCTTTTCCGATGTCGAACCCTGCTCGACCAATCACCTAGAATTATTTCAAAACCTGTATTCACAGTCGTCGCTGCTGTGGCCCCCACACCTCTAAGTTTTTCTGCGTCTTCTGTGCAACCTGACAACACCTGCTTTTGATGATCGAGCACTGTCAGCTAGGCCTTATTAGTCGTCTTCGGAGTGCGCACTAAAAGGGGCACTAAGTTGATGCACAAACAAGAGGCCAAAATCTTCGCTTTTCACAATAATCGAGCGCACAAGTTGCCCTCTAAAGCAGTGTGCTCCATGTTTCCCAGATTTGCGGAGCACATGTGTGCAGCGGCTAAACGTCAGTCTGGCGCCATTTACTCCTTCGACTTATCTCTCCAACGACAACCGGTTCCTTATGATTGTATAAATTTCTCCCTAAAATGGCTGGTTTTGGTCCAAATTGTAGGCCCACTTCTGCCTTATTTGCCAGCGATTTGGAGATCCTGCTGTCATTGTTCAATATGTCTACTGCAAGATAATCCATGTAGACCCTTCTAGCGGTTGCCCCTAGGTGACCCCTGTCCACTGTGTTCAAATGTGGTGCTTACTTCGGGTGGCAGGGGAGGACTGTAATTGACGAATATTTTGTCTACTGGTTTAGGCATCTACCTCCCCTAATCGATAGTTGTTCGCTTTTAGATACTTTAGTAATCCTTGTGTACACAAAAAGAGCATGCAATATCCCGCTGTTGTGAATCGTGTTTATTCAACCCCTTAATCCGGTCGCTCCACCTGCTACACAGGGTTCCCTTTGTCGCAGCATGTCGCCAGCCGCGCAAATCCTCAACACTCCCCTCATTAGCACGAATATTTATGTTGGAGTATCCCCACACCTAGGTCTCGATGTTAGCGCATGTATGACTCGCACATCCGAGGTACAAGTACACACACACAAACCCCACACACGACACCAACGTGGTTGAGCTCTGAAGTGAACGATTGTGTCCACGTCCTCTCCGGTCTTCTTCTTCATCGTGGGTACCAGGGAAACGTAATCGGGCTAGGGTTAATTCCGTGGCCCCGGCATGGTACAAGACCACATGCTGGGGCCCACAACACCGCATTACATGGCAGGTAGTTGTACCACCGTCGCTGCGTAGCTGCCTTTTTTCATCGCGTCACAGTGTCAATGCTTCTCCATGCTTTTGTTGTCCCTTGAGCGGCTTGCATGGACATGCATCAAAGTGGTCACTGCCTTATGCAGTTTCACGAACACTGAAAGTGGTTGATGCCTTTCAATTAATGCATGCCATATTTTACCCTCCTCTTTACAGCAGTCTTCTTCCCCTCAAACGAGTCTCCGCCAACACGGAATTACATGGGCCGAATGGGCGGCGGCGGCGGCGGTGTCGGAGGCAGCCAAGGCAATCAAAGCGGTGGAAACGGCGACTCCAAGGACATCCGGCGCCGAGTTAGCCATAACGAAGGTAAGGCCCCCCGTGTACCCATTTCTTTGCCATTCTATTCTCTCCACAAATGGGCTGTGGCTTCCTTCGGAACTCGAATTCTCCGCATAATACGGTGGAGAAGTCTGTGTTTGGAAATTTCTTGGCCGACATCGAATGCCCCCTCGCCTTAGCCGTCTGAATCTGCTTGCAATGAGAGAACTACCAACACACACACACACCATCTGCCGAATCACTTGGCTTGTCTGCCTTGCCTGCCGTTTTTGTTAGGAAACTGGCATAATTTGACAGGTCCAGCACCGTGGGGTCATGCATGCACGTGGTCGGCCACACTGGGAACGCTTACTTTCGGGTCATCGCACCGTGCCGTGTGTGTGTGCGTGTGTGTGTTCACGTATCACGTGCGTGGTACATGCGCACACGTGCTGGTGTGGCAACGCGGCGTGTTGTCAGAGCGCGAGAAAGTAGCCCGGCTTTACTTGAACGGTGAATTCGAGCTTTCATTAATTCATTCATTACTGAGTGCCAGCTGATCTTGGCCACCTCAAGGTCACTGTCTGGCCATGCAGCATTCCTCCCTTGGTCTTCCTCGGCGTTTTCACACGCGCATGCGGGTTCTAAGACCCGTGTGACCTTACACACTCATGCTGATTCACCGTGACCTGATTCGCACTAAGCAACGTAAGTTGCGTGTGAATTTGATTTGCGTAGTGTAGCTTGTGTGACGTAGTTTCCTCCTGGTTGCGGGCTTCGTTGGAGTTTCAGGCAAGTTTGCGTATTCGAGTCTTCTGCTGCCTGGCGCATTCAGTTCCCCCAAAGATGCGGAGAGAAGAACTGCAGCTAATGCGCCTTCTCAAACAGCGTCGCGTGATTGGCTGAAGAGAGCGTGTCTTGTGGCGATGAGCGCGATCACTTCGTTTTATTGGTTGTGAATCCTTCCAGGCCTGTTAGCACCAAATACCCGCTTCTGTGTAGCATTCCCAATTTGTCACATTTGTAGACTGTGCTCACGCCCATGTCAGTAAATGGTGAATTTTGGGTGGGGCAAGACGTTACGCGGGATAAAGTTGTAAATATCAAGCCATCATCTCTGTTTGCAGTTGCGTTATGTAGCGGGAACGGTGAATCAATGAACTTCGTGTCCACCTATCTGTACAAGCTTGATTTTTGTCAAAATGTCCATCGTCGGCGTACCGCAACACATCACACCGGGGAGAGGGTGGTCATCGTATCTCAGACCGGTTCCGTGTTCTCTGAGTTGGTCACGTGAAGAGTAGGCATTGCCCAGAAAATCCGCGGCTTTCGTTTCCCCCCCCCCCAGCCTGCCTCCACATGGCGAGTTTGGCACGTGACACGTCCACTGTTTCCTCTCACGGTGGTACAGCCGATGGGACACTTAGTCACCTTCTAGCACGCGCTACGCAGGCAACCCAATCGGCGGGCAGCGTGGTGTTCCATCGGCTCCTTTTATTTTGTCCAAATTTAGTCATCAAAAAATAACTACAGTGGTAGTTACGGGGCGGCGGTGACTAAGTCGCCTCATGTCGTCCTTTTTGGCCCAAACAACTTTGTATTTTCTAATGTAAGATTATTTCTGGCCCGGAGCAAACTATGTCGGCATGAGTTTTTTTTTGGTTGCACGAACGCGTACACCAAGGTACTCGATGCGGTCACTTTACCGTTGCCATGACGACCACCAGGCCACACCTAACGCAAGGGTCTCTCTGGTAAACTGCTTAATTTCTTCCTAGTTAATTTGAGCGTAATGCCTCGATCCCCAAACGATGATTGAAGCCCCTGTAGCTGCCTCAAAACGGGGCGATTTTTCAACCAATCAAATTGACAAAACTGTGAATATTCAGGTGATTGGTACCCAAACAACTAGTGTCTTGTGTTGCTTAAATTTAGTTGAGCGGCGACGAAGGGACCGGATCAACACGTGGATCGCCGAACTGTACAAACTCCTGCCCCCCGAACAGCAGGCGAAATCGCAATACCAAAGCAAGGGCGTTGTCCTTAAGCGTGTCTGTGAATACTTTCAGAATTACGACGCCAACATGAAGACGGTAAGCCTCTTGCACGACCACGACCTCTCCAGCCTCCTTGTGCAGCCCACTGACTTCAATGAACCCGATCAACTTCGCCTTGCATTGCTTAAGTCTTCTTTTTTTACTTCAATACTTCCCTCAGCAGTGCTAATGGGATGTTTTTGAGGGCACTTTGTGTTCACAGTTTATGTTTATGCACACGAGCGTGTCTTTCAGTGTGTCACGTGCCTTCGCAGCACCGTGCGACCTGCCTTTTTCGTCGTGCATATGATTTCACTGCCGCGGGAGTCAAGTGCCAACCCGCTGGAAGCTGTCTCATGTTCACCCACTTTCTCCTCTTCTTTTCCCTTCCGCTAGCTGCGTGAGCAGAACGCAGTCTTCAAGCAGGAGATTTGTCGACTGACTCGCGAGAACCACATCCTCCGGAACAGTCTGAATGTGCATTTCCAACAGCAGCCACCACCACCGCAGCAGCAGCAGCAGCAAATGCCCACCCAGGTTGCCGCAGACGAGTCTCCCGGGGTCGTCGTCTCGTCGGGTCTCGCCAACCCCGCCACAGCGCAGCCACCGCAGCCATCACATACCAAAACCAGTGACCACATCCTCCCGTCACCGCCCAAGCGCCCCCACTTCACCTCGGAGTAGTTGGCGCGGGGGAATCCGCGCATGTGATCAATTTATCCGTTGTTTCTACCCCTCCCACCCCGTGTTCTTCTGTTCGACCACCCACCTACCCACCCTACCCGCCACTTCTTTGTCGCTTGGACACACCCGCCTGCATTGACATTAGTCTTTCACACCGCTTCCGCCGCTGCCCAATTTCCGCCATGCTACTTCACTGAAATAATACGACGACGACGATGATGATGATAATGATATTTAGGTGTCCTCTGTGCGCTCGGTGTGTGCGTCTGCGTGTTTGTGTATAATTTTTTGAGGAATCAAGTCTTGCGCGAGTTTTTTTCTCTAACCTTATCTGCCATCGCCCCCTCCGTGAACAATAACAGCCTCGACTTCAACAAACAAACATTTGATACCTGTTGCTATTATTGCTGTTACTTTTTTGGGGGGAACTCATGGTTGCTACTGCATCGCCAACTCGCGTTACGCGAACCCCGTATCGATTGCCGTTAGACGCCAGGTTGTTGAAGCGTAAAAGAGGTCTTTAGTTGCCACCCACGGGCTGGGCAAACTGACTGTCGTCTTGGTGTTGCCCAACGGGCTGCCCATCTGTGACGACCTCTAAATCGACGTCTCGAAGTTCTTTTTAAGGTGGACCTGTTTTGGCGTCTTTGGGAGTCACTTCTTGTCAACTTTGATCCTACCGACGTGGTGGTTTGTATGGTCATTTGCCCCGCGAAAGCAGCCAATCCAGCGAGGGAACATGAGGCATTGAGTAAGCCGCAAGCTTCCTGTGCTAGGTTGCTACGACGCACAAAACTGCGGTGTCAATATTAACTGCCTGCCGAAACAGGCCCTCGTGGTTATTAGATGTGGGCTGATATCGATCCCCAATGTGGTATTGGGAAGAGCCGGGGCGACATGTCACACTGGTATTACTTTGGGAAGGCATGGATAAGTGATAAATCCTGGAATTTACATCGAAATTCACAGCAGAGAACTTCTCTGCTCAGCAAACCCCGGGTCTTACTGTTTTGTCATTGTCAAAGATGACCGTTCCCGTGGCAAGACTCGTCATTGTTGTAAACCTAAGTTAGCCCTCGATGAAGATGCCAGCTCCTAATCCACCTCAAGTATCAAAAACAGCAAAACTGCGACTGCATAGCCTTCAAGATGCGATTTCGACGACACGACAGTCTAATTTGGCAGGGTCTTACGTCGCAGGACGAGATATGGGCGGTAGGACTTCTGCTCCACACTCAACATATCGACTGGCAATCATTCCGCAGTTACCACAACAGGAATGCTGGAAATCAATACATGAGAATTCCAAGAGAAGTAGAATAATCGGGTTCAATACCTCGAGTGCATCTCACGTAGGTCTAGTCCAAAGTGGAAGGGGAGAATTTTGTTTTTCCAGATCACGTCCTGGTAGCTCAAACTTTTCTTTCACCTCGTCTACTGCTAGCTACCCTACCGAAACCTTCCCATTTGGGCATTTAAAATGTGCGGTAAATAAAAGCCTCGGAACTACTTGGGTTTAATTTCAAATCGCGTCTTCAGCTTTCAGGCCGGGTAGTGGAGAATGGCGCTCTCTTCACAATGCTGTTTGCACGGCATACTTTGCAACACTTAAATTCGGCTATTTTCATAAACACCTCCATTTGAGATGCCTGCACCAAATGTAAACGGACACTGGCAACTAGACATCGGCGAATTTTTTTCGTACTTGATAATTTGCAAAACACCGTGTTTAGGATGCCTGTGAATCTAAGACTGGATAGTTTGTTGTACAAACACAGCTTGACCTTAGAGGACTTTTCGAGTCACGTGATCGGCGTACTCAGCAAGTGAGCAGAGGTGAGAGTAATTGAGAAAAAAAACCTTTGGCAATAGCGTTGACTGAGTGGCGGCATGCCAGAGAACTTGACAGCTTTATGCACTGGGTCACCAAAGTGTGGCGGCTTGGTGTGGGGAGAGTGTCTAGTCATGGTGGTTTCATTTGCCTCATAATCTCCAGTCTCAATCGATTGTTTTCGAGTACTGATTCTCCGCGTTTCCAGAGTGTCTGCATCTTAAGTAGCAACCAATTTCGTCTACCGATTATAACCGATAGCGTTGTTAACGCGCACGTTGGACTTTAGAGAAAGCTGATTGGATAGTTACAACAAGGCCTCCTCTTCCTATTGGCAGCAGTTAATGCGTTGGTGTACCCTAAAACGTAGGTTCATCTTCTGTGCTGGTACCAACGAAGTAGATCGGACTGACCCCAAACAGTTGCCAAGGTTTACCTTCAATTTCGCATTCAATTCCGCAATTTCAAAAGTTTTCTAGGAGTCTTGAGAGAGACAACAGAAGGCTTGCGCTTGAACACCTTTGCCAAGATAGTAATCAAGACTTGTGAACGACTACTTCAGATTTCTGACCAATGAGGATGCAGCCGTTTACTGTGTAGAGTTGTCTTGTATCTGCTCATCTCGTGTCCAGGCTGGCCCGTGGTGCTGTAATTCTCGCCAATGTGGCATTAGGGGAGACTGGGTGTTGTGCATTTTTGGAAGGCATCGCCAAAGAATGCCTGTGTCACTGCTGTAGGAGCGTTTTCGAGGACAGGAAATTTACCAGTCGATGTGGTTTTAACTCATAATAATCCGACTGGTTAGTGAAACCACACATACAGTTAACAGAGGCTTTCAATCTGTTGGCCCTTAGCTCGATTGAATTAAAACACCAAGTAGGAGATCCTTACAAGAATCTGTTTTTAAAATATTGGTCCAATTTCGCACTCTGGCAAATTCATGTAAGTTTTGAATGTTATTAGCAATACAATTATTTTGCTTTTTATTCTGCTCTCGATGAAAATTGTTGAAGTGAATCATCAAATAGTTACACGTATTTGTCTCTTAACGAGTTATCGACCTTTCGTGGTCCAACTTCATCAAACTTGGACCTACACCAGCCAATTTTGCCAAATTAACTTGCTTTTCCTCCAATGTAGAGGGTAGGAACTCTGGAGACTTTGACGATTATGTTAATCCATAAACACGCACCGTGAAATGGTCCATGACGGGCATTTGATTGTGCAATCTACGCTCCTGTGTGACGCATTGTCCACCCTACTGAATGTGACATGAGTAATCTTAGACAACTCGATGATTCCGATCAAGGCATTGAGAACTGGACAAAGTCGGTGAGGCGCCTTTAGCCTCATTCGTCCGAGGTCACAGTGGCTAACTCAATATACCGTTTCCTACGTTGGTCTTGTTTTAGTTTGGTAAGGTAAGCTCCCATTCTGTTCTGCGCAAACTTCCACATAAACATTGATGCGAAAGCAGAAGAACCTTAGGTATTGGTAGCTGCCATTCTCTGTGGTGGTGGTGGTGGTGGTGGTGGTTTCACTTTCTCCCGGAATCATCAATCTTACTTCTAAATTTTTTTACCAAACAGCTCTAAAAGACTGCAAATTTTTGCGGGTACTGTAAGCTTAAAAAGAAAGGACGTTAAAAAAGGCCGAGAAAAGCCAGACCTCGTTCAAAACACAGCCCTCCAAGGCGCTGGTGTTTTGTTCCTAACGGGATAATTCGGGTCCCATGCACTTTTAGGCGCTGTTTGCCATCTCGCGGACACCTTTAACTACTCAAGTTGTAAAAAATAACCTCGTTGGTGCTTGAAAATTGTTTGTGTTGACTCGAGTCTAAGATATGCCATCCCCACACTAAGGTCACTTGATGGTCAGCTGGCTGTGCGATTTGGTGTAGACTATCACATCACGTTGAAATGTGGTTTCCGAGAAGATCTGGGACGTAAAGCGGTCTACATGTTATACCAGACGTGAAATATCTTGACGGCAAATAGCGTAAACCTTAAATTTCAAACCGTAAATTTATACAGTATTCTAGATGCTTGCTGTTGATGTGGGAAATGAACAGTATAGTAAAGTAAGAAGTTACGGGAAGTAGCATGGTAAGCGTTACACCCACTGTCATCTCTTAACATTTTGGGTCTCAATAGGGTAATTATGATTCCTGGGGAATTCAGGAAGTAAATGTCCCTACAGTTACACGCCGCGCACATTCAATACCTGGACAAGTGAGTGACGAGACAGCTGTGTTCGATTCTGGCGCCAGTCCTGGAATACCGATGGTGCTGTCCATTTCCGCAGGTCCTTAACTCAAGATCACTGACAGTACTGCCACTTCTATGGCGATGCCCAGAGCCAATTTTTCTCTGAAATTTGACTCGTCCCTTACCATCGGGTTGTTTACTTTTACAAACGGCTTTGGCGTCGACATCACGGCAGTACGCTGACCTCAGAACTGCGGAATCTCAGCATAGCTCACGCACGGTCCTGAAAGCCACTGGAATAAGCCACGAGTGGTTTCACGTGAGATTAGCAGCGTTTGGCTCCAAACACCCTACGCGGTAAGAGGTCGTTTGGTTGTGCACCATCGATGAATGCATGTCAGTGTTGTCGTCACCTAACCGCAGCAGCCTGGATGTTGGGATAAGGCGAGTTAAAACATATTTAGGGGAGATTTAATACAGTTCTTGTGCAGTTCACTTCGAAGCGGTGATTGTGACCTTGGTTAAATTTTTCCACACGGCATAACAAATACGCAGATGGACGCAACTCCCTCGCCTCGCATCCACCTAAATTTGAGCACTAAAATAATAAGCGAAGCAAGAAGCGCCCCTTTTTGCCTGCTCCTGCCCGCCTAGAATCACGTGACAGCTTGGCAGGTGATTCGTTGTCGTCGTCGTCTTCGTCGTGCAACATGTGACCACTCCCTCAAAGCGACCACGTGACGCCCTGTCTGCTCACGCAGATGGCGTAACGAGCCTTAAAATTCCAGGTTTCAGACATGCTAGTGATCATTCCACATTCGCCACAAAACACAATCAGTTCTAGGTTAAGTTAAAACCAACTGACGCAAGCCATTCCATTCCGGAGTGCATTTAGTCACGGAAATTACAAACCCGGAATTCAATAAATTTTGCTTGAATTTGAAGGTTTTGAAGTTACCGAC